TAGTCGCAAAGTGAAGATTCACAGCGACAAGCCCCAAACATGGAGATAGGTCCTTTTCAGCTTTCAGCAGCCCTGGGCGAGTTGTTTATAGAAATGTGGCTTTTTTTCTTGGTGCACCATCCTATATCCAGCTATAAAACAGGATCAGGATGATCATTATTCAGTTGCTGAGCTTCAAACGAGAAGAAAGGTGAGAAATTGTCAAATATTTACCATATTTGACCACCTGTCAATTTTAATGCACCTCTCTATAACATGACCCAGCTGTGATGTGAGTGGTCGTATTGATTTCATTTTTTGTTTACTTGTAGGCCGTTGGCACCCACAGTCAATGAGCCAGAAAGTTTGGCACTGCCATGAATACTTTAGTCGCAAAGTGAAGATTCACGGCGACAAGCCCCAAACTTGGAGATAGGTTATTTTCAGCTTTCAGCAGCCCTGGGCGAGTTGTTTAGAGAAATGTGGCTTTTCTTCTTCGTGCACCAACCCTATGTCCAGCTAAAAAACAGGATCACGATGATCATTATTCAGGTGCTGAGCTTCAAACGGGAAGAAAGGTGAGAAATTGTCCAATTTTGACCATATTTGACCACCTGTAAATTTTAATGCACCTCTCTATAACATGACCCAGCTGTGATGTGAGTGGTCGTATTGATTTTCATTTTAGTTTGCTTGCTGGCCGCTGGCACCCACATTCAATGACCTCGCAAGTTTGGCACTGCTGTGAATACTTTAGTCGCAAAGTGAAGATTCACAGCGACAAGCCCCAAACTTGGAGATAGGTCATTTTCAGCTTTCAGCAGCCCTGGGCGAGTTGTTTAGAGAAATGTGGCTATTTTTCTTTCGTGCACCACCCTATGTCCAGCTATAAAACAGGATAAGGATGATCAATATTTAGGTGCTGAGCTTCAAACGGGAAGAAAGGTGAGAAATTGTCAAATTTTGACCATATTTCACCACCTGTAAATTTTAATGCACCTCTCTATAACATGACCCAGCTGTGATGTGAGTGGTCGTATTGATTTTAATTTTAGTTTGCTTGCAGGCCGCTGGCACCCACATTCAATGACCTAGAATCTTTGGCACTGCTGTGAATACTTTAGTCGCAAAGTGAAGATTCACGGCGACAAGCCCCAAACTTGGAGATAGGTCCTTTTCAGTTTTCAGCAGCCCTGGGCGAGTTGTTTAGAGAAAGTTGGCTCTCTTTCTTGATGCACGTTCCTATGTCTAGCTATACAACAAGATCAGGGTGGGGTTTTTCAGGTTTTGAGCTTCAAACCGGCAGAAAGGTGAGAAATTGTCAAATTTTGACCATTTTTGACCACCTGTCAATTTTAATGCACATCTCTATAAGAGGACGCAGCTGTAATGAGATTGAACGCATTGATTTTAATTTTGGTTTGCTTGCAGGCCGCTGGCACCCACATTCAATGACCTAGAATCTTTGGCACTGCTGTGAATACTTTAGTCGCAAAGTGAAGCACGGCGAAAAGCCCCAAACTTGGAGATATGTTATTTTCAGTTTTCAGCAGCCCTGGGCGAGTTGTGTAGAGAAATGTGGCTTTTTCTCTTGGTGCACCTTCCAAAGTCCAGTTTGCAACAAGATCAGGATGGTCCTTTTTCTGGTTTTGAGCTTCAAACGGTCAGAAAGGTGCGAAATTGTCAAATTTTGACCATTTTTACCGCCTGTCAATTTTAATGCACCTCCCTATAACATGACCCAGCTGTAATGAGAGGGCTCGGATTTGTTTCATTTTTGGTGTACTTGTAGGCCGCCTGCACCCACATTCAATGACCCAGAAACTTTGGCACTGCTGTGAATACTTTAGTCGCAAAGTGAAGATTCACGGCGAAAAGCCCCAAACTTGGAGATATGTTATTTTCAGCTTTCAGCAGCCCTGGGCGAGTTGTGTAGCGAAATGTGGCTGTTTTTCTTGGTGCACCTCCCTATGTCCAGCTTATACAACAAGATCAGGATGGCCATTTTTCAGTTTTTCAGCTTCAAACAGGCAGAAAGGTCAGAAATTGTGAAATTTTGAACATTTTTGACCACCTGTCAATTTTAATGCACCTCTCTATAACAGGACCCAGCTGTAATGAGAGTGAACGCATTAATTTTAATGTTGGTTTGCTTGTAGGCCGCTGGCACCCACATTGAATGACCTAGAAACTTTGGCACTGCTGTAATACTTAAGTCGCAAAGAGAAGATTCACGGCGAAAAGTCCCAAACTTGGAGATAGGTTATTTTCAGCTTTCAGCAGCCCTGGGCGAGTTGTGTAGAGAAATGTGGCTCTTTTTTTGGTGCACCTTCCTATATCCAGCTATACAACAAGATCAGGATGGTCGTTTTCACGTTTTGAGGTGCGAAAGTGCAGAAAGGTGAGAAATTGTCAAATTTTGACCATTTTTGACCACCTGTCAATTTTAATGCACCTCTCTATAACATGACCCAGCTGTAATGTGAGTAGTCGCATTGATTTTATTTTTGTTTGTTTGTGGGCCGCTGGCACCCACGTTCACTGACCCGGAAACTTTGGCACTGCTGAGAACACATTAGTCGCAAAGTGAAGATTCACGGCGACAAGCCCCAAACTTGGAGATATGTTAGTTTCAGCTTTCAGCAGCCCTGAGCGAGTTGTTTAGAGAAATGTGGCTGTTTTTCTTGGTGCGCCTCCCTATGTCCAGCCTATAGAACAAGATCAGGATGGTCATTTTCAGGTTTTGAGCTTCAAACGGGCAGAACGGTGAGAAATTGTCTATTTTTGACCATTTTTGACCACCTGTCAATTTTAATGCACCTCTCTATAACATGACCCTGCTGTAATGTAAGTGGTCGCATTGATTTGATTTTTGTTGTTTAGTAATAGTTTAGTCGCTAAGTGAAGAACCACGGGCAAAAAGCCCCAAACTTGGAGATGCGTCTGCGTCTGCCTCCACCTCTGCCTCTGTCTCTGCCTCTGACGCTGGCTCTGCCACTGCCTATGCGTCTTCTTCTGCCTCTACACCTGCGTCTTCCTCTGCCCCCTACTTCTGCCTCTGCCTCTGCCTCTGCCTCTACCTTTGCCTCTGCATCGGCCTCTGCCTCAGCGTCTGCATCTGCGTCTGCCTCTGCCTCTGCCTCCACCTCTGCCTCTGCCTCTACCTCTACCTCTGCCTCCACCTCTGCCTCTGCCTCTGGCTCTGGCTCTGCCTCTCTCTCTGCCTCTGACGCTGGCTCTGCCTCTGCCTCTGTCTCTGCCTCTGACTCAAGCTCTGTCTCTGTTCTGCCTCTTCTTATACCTCTGTCCCTGCCTCTGCCTCTGTCTTTGCCTCTGACTCAAGCTCTGTCTCTGTTCTGCCTCTGCCTCTTCTTATATCTCTGTCCCTGCCCCTGCCTCTGCCTCTGTCTCTGCCTTTGTCTCTGCCTCTGGCGCTGGCTCTGCCTCTGTCTCTGCCTCTGGCTCTGCCTCTGCTGTGCCTCTGGCGCTGGCTCTGCCTCTGCCTATGCGTCTTCCTCTGCACCTGGCTCTGCGTCTGGCTCTGCGTCCGCCTCTGCCTCTACATCTGCCTCTGACGCTGGCTCCGCCTCTACTTCTGCTTTTGCCTCTGTCTCTGCCTCTGACGCTAGCTCTGTCTTTGCCTCTGCCTCTGCCTCTACTTCTGCCTCAATCTCTGTCTCTGTCTCTGCCTCTGGTCTGCCCCTGCCTCTGCCTCTGCCTTTGCGTCTGGTCTGCCTCTGCCTCCGTCTCTGTATCTTCCTCTGATGCTGGCTCTTCCTCTGCCTATGCGTCCTCCTCTGCATCTGGCTCTGCGTCTGCCTCTGCATCTGACACTGGCTCTGTCTGTGTCCCTTCCTCTACCTTTACTTCTGCCACTGCCTCAGTCTCTGCCTCTGCGTCTGCGTCTGCTTCTGCGTCTGCCTCCACCTCTGCCCCTGCCTCTGCCTCTGACGCTGTCTCTGCCTCTGCCTATGCGTCTTCTTCTGCATCTGGCTCTATGCCTGGCTCTGCGTCTGCCTGTGCCTCCACATCTGCCTCTGCCTCTGCCTCTGACGCTAGAACTGCCTTCGCTTCTGCCTCTGCCTCAGCCTTTGCCTCAATCTCTGTCTCTGTCTCTGCCTCTGTTCTGCCGCTGCCTCTGACTCTGCCTGTACCTCCGCCTCTGCCTCTGCGTCTGGTCTGCCTATGCATCCGCCTCTGCCTCCGCCTCTGCCTCCGCCTCTGTCTCTGCCTCTGACGCTGGCTCTACTTCTGCTTCTGCATCTGACGCTGGCTCTGTCTCTGCCTCAATCTCTGTCTTTGCCTCTGTTCTGCCTCTGCCTCTACCTCTGTCCCTGCCTCTGCCTCTGCGTCTGGTCTGCCTCTGTCTCCGACTCTGTCTCTGACGCTGGCTCTGTCTCTGCCTATGCGCCTTCCTCTGCATCTGGCTCCGCGTCTGCGTCTGGCTCTGCGTCTGCGTCTGCCTCTGCATCTGACGCTGGATCGATCTGTCTCTTCCTCTACTCCTGCAACTGCCTCAGCCGCTGTCCCTGCGTCTGTTCTGCCTCCACCTCTGCCTCTGCCTCTGCCTCTGACGCTGGAGCTGCCTCCGCCTCTGCCTCTGACGCTGGAACTGCCTCCGCCTCTGCCTCTGACGCTGGAACTGCCTCTGCGTCTGTTCTGCCTCTGTCTCTGACGCTGGCTCTGCCTCTGTCTCCGCCTCTGACGCTGGCTCTGCCTATGCGTCTTCCTCTGCATCTGGCTCTGCGTCTGCCTGTGATGTTGGCTCTGCCTCTGGCTCTAGCTCTGCGTCTGCCTCTACATCTACCTCCGCCTCTGACGCCGGAACTGCCTCCGCCTCTGCTTCTGCTTCTGCCCCTGTCTCTGCCTCTGTGAATAAACCCGTTCTCAAGCAGCCATGATGACGTTGTATATCAACATGAAGTAGGCCACTTTGAACTAGACATATGATAACGAGTACATAAGCTCATTTGCTCTTGATAAAATCACACGGACTGTCACCATGGTCACTGCTACAATCATAACAACAACGGAATCTACAGTGTACATTGAATGACGTCACAATTATTGTAGTCCAACTACAAAAGAGTGCAACTTTACTTGTCCTCATCGCTCTGAAACCTTGACTGAATTGTAAAGAAAGACAGCACATTGTTTCTGGTGATTGTATTCAAGCCCTTCGGCTTGCATCGATCGCCAAGAACGCCTAGGTGTACCTGGGAAAAGAATGCCAAATATGGAGTGGAGCGCATAGAATATTGTATGTACATTGTGTTATTAGCCTGGTAGTACAGGTAACAGCGGCTACGATAGTGCACTGATACTCGGCTAGTAACACAGATATAAAGGTGGGACTACAAAAGGGCAGCAAGAATTTCCTCAGAAAACATTGAGGGGGGGGGGAGCTATTATGAGAAAACGACCTTACAAGACCATAAAAAAAGGACATGAAATGTGATATGTACAAGAACTGGAGACACCGGGACATTACAAAGTCATAAAAAAGAAGAAGAAAAAAAGCTGACCAACAAGGTGAACATAGCTTTACAACGGCTGTGCGCTGGGTATTGTAAATTTGTACTTTGAAGTAATTACTACTTCGAAGTGTGATTAGGAATAATTATGCAGCAGCTTCAGTGAGCAAGTCCTGCATCTCTTCGGAATCACATTATTAACATGCACCTTTCGTGATTAAGTCGTGGATCTGTTGCTTATACAACGCCTTGACATCGTCCAGATCCATGCGTAGCTCGTTAGCTTCCTCAGCTTTCTCCCCATACATCTGTAGCATGGTATTGTAACGCTTATCTAGCTCTTCAACCTGCCGCTTCAGTGCCGGAACACTGTCCAGCCTCCGGCTAAGCTGCTCATTTTCCGCAGCCATTGTCACCAGCTCCTGAGCCACAGATGCACGTGCTTTCTCCAAGAGGATGACTTGTGATTGCAATGCACTGACTTCACCTTGGCGCTGCTTGAGCAAAGAATGTAGTTTGTCCATACCCACAGCAACAGGAAGAGAGCGCAACAACACATCACCACTGTTGTCACTATCAGGTGACGACGGCCTACGTCGTGCTGCCAGTGCTGCCGCCGGTGCTGCTGCTGCTGCTGATCCTCTGAGCAGTGATTGCTCTAAGATATCGCCTTGATTAGGATAGGAAGTAGCACCAGCACTTAGCGGATGAGAGTTAGATGTTTGAGCTGGCGATACTGGTGATATAGCGACAGCACTCAGTACTTGAGACTCCCGTAACTCACCAAGTATTTTGTGATGGCGCTGCCGCTCCTGTGCACAACAAAAATCACAGCAACAAGGAAATAGTGAAGAACACAAGGGCGAAAACAGTAACAACATGAGCATGAGCGCCGTCACCACCACCACCGTCACCACCAGCACCGTCACCACCGTCACCACCAGCCCCACCACCGTCACCACCAGCACCACCGTCACCACCAGCACCACCGTCACCAGCACCAGCACCACCACCGTCACCACCAGCACCAGCACCACCACCGTCACCACCACCACCGTCATCACCAGCACCACCGTCACCACCAGCACCACCGTCACCACCAGCACCACCGTCACCACCGTCACCACCAGCACCGTCACCACCAGCACCAGCACCACCACCGTCACCACCAGCACCACCAGCACCACCGTCACCAAAAGCACCACCGTCACCACCAGCCCCACCAGCCCCACCAGCACCGTCACCACCAGCACCAGCACCGTCACCACCAGCACCGTCACCACCAGCACCACCGTCACCACCAGCACCACCGTCACCATCAGCACCACCAGCCCCACCGTCACCACCAGCACCACCACCGTCACCACCAGCACCACCACCGTCACCACCAGCACCACTAGCACCGTCACCACCAGCACCGTCACCACCAGCACCACCGTCACCACCAGCCCCACCAGCACCAGCACCACCAGCACCACCACCAGCACCACCAGCACCACCAGCACCACCGTCACCACCAGCACCACCGTCACCACCTTCACCACCGTCACCACCAGCACCACCAGCACCACCACCGTCACCACCAGCACCACCACCGTCACAACCAGCACCAGCACCATCACCACCGTCACCACCAGCACCACCGTCACCACCATCACCACCAGCACCACCGTCACAACCGTCACCAGCACCAGCCCCACCAGCACCGTCACCACCAGAACCAGCACCGTCACCACCAGCACCAGTACCACCGTCACCACCAGCACCACCGTCACCACCAGCACCACCGTCACCACCAGCACCACCAGCACCACCAGCACCACCGTCACCACCAGCACCACCAGCACCGTCACCACCAGCACCACCGTCACCACCGTCACCACCAGCACCACCGTCACCAGCACCACCACCGTCACCACCAGCACCACCGTCACCACCAGCACCACCGTCACAACCGTCACCAGCACCAGCACCACCGTCACCACCAGCACCACCGTCACCATCAGCACCACCAGCACCACCAGCACCACCAGCACCACCACCGTCACCACCAGCACCACCGTCACCACCACCACCGTCACCACCAGCACCACCAGCACCACCGTCACCACCAGCACCACCACCGTCACCGCCGTCACCACCAGCACCACCACCGTCACAACCAGCACCACCACCATCACCACCATCACCACCAGCACCACCGTCACAACCGTCACCAGCACCAGCCCCACTAGCACCGTCACCACCAGAACCAGCACCGTCACCACCAGCACCACCACTGTCACCACCAGCACCACCACCGTCACCACCAGCACCACCGTCACCAGCACCACCGTCACCACCAGCACCACCAGCACCACCACCGTCACCACCAGCACCACCGTCACCACCAGCACCACCGTCACAACTGTCACCAGCACCAGCACCACCGTCACCACCAGCACCACCGTCACCATCAGCACCACCGTCACCACCAGCCCCACCACCGTCACCACCAGCACCAGCACCACCACCGTCACCACCAGCACCACCGTCACCACCAGCACCACCGTCACCACCAGCACCAGCACCACCACCGTCACCACCAGCACCACCACCGTCACCACCACCACCGTCACCACCAGCACCACCGTCACCACCAGCACCACCAGCCCCTCCAGCACCCTCACCACCAGCACCAGCACCACCACCGTCACCACCAGCACCACCAGCCCCACCAGCACCCTCACCACCAGCACCAGCACCACCACCGTCACCACCAGCACCACCAGCACCACCGTCACCACCAGCACCGTCACCACCAGCACCAGCACCAGCACCGTCACCACCAGCACCAGCACCGTCACCACCAGCACCAGCACCACCGTCACCAACGTCACCACCAGCACCACCGTCACCACCAGCCCCACCGTCACCACCAGCACCACCACCGTCACCACCAGCACCACTAGCACCGTCACGACCAGCACCAGCACCGTCACCACCAGCACCACCGTCACCACCAGCCCCACCAGCACCACCGTCACCAGCACCACCAGCACCACCAGCACCACCGTCACCACCAGCACCACCGTCACCACCGTCACCACCTTCACCACCGTCACCACGAGCACCACCACCGTCACCACCAGCACCACCACCGTCACCGCCGTCACCACCAGCACCACCACCGTCACAACCAGCACCACCAGCACCACCACCATCACTACCGTCACCACCAGCACCACCGTCACCACCATCACCACCAGCACCACCGTCACAACCAGCACCAGCCCCACCAGCACCATCACCACCAGAACCAGCACCGTCACCACCAGCACCAGCACCACCGTCACCACCGTCACCACCAGCACCACCGTCACCACCAGCACCACCAGCACCACCAGCACCACCAGCACCGTCACCACCAGCACCACCGTCACCACCAGCACCACCGTCACCACCAGCACCACCACCGTCACCACCAGCACCACCGTCACCACCAGCACCACCGTCACAACCGTCACCAGCACCAGCACCACCGTCACCACCAGCACCACCGTCACCATCAGCACCACCGTCACCACCAGCACCACCGTCACAACCAGCACCACCACCGTCACCACCAGCACCACCGTCACCACCAGCACCAGCACCACCAGCACCAGCACCACCGTCACCACCACCACCGTCACCACCAGCACCAGCACCACCACCGTCACCACCAGCACCACCGTCACCACCAGCACCACCGTCACCAGCACCAGCACCACCGTCACCACCAGCACCACCGTCACCATCAGCACCACCGTCACCACCAGCACCACCGTCACAACCAGCACCACCAGGACCACCACCGTCACCACCAGCACCACCGTCACCACCAGCACCAGCACCACCACCACCAGCACCACCACCGTCACTGTCACCACCAGCACCACCAGCACCGTCACCACCAGCACCACCGTCACCACCAGCACCAGCACCACCACCGTCACCACCAGCACCACCGTCACCACCAGCACCACCGTTACCATCAGCACCACCGTCACAACCAGCACCACCGTCACAACCAGCACCAGCACCGTCACCACCAGCACCACCGTCACCACCAGCACCACCGTCACCACCAGCACCAGCACCACCACCGTCACCACCAGCACCACCGTCACCACCAGCACCAACGTCACAACCGTCACCAGCACCAGCACCACCGTCACCACCAGCACCACCGTCACCATCAGCACCACCGTCACCACCAGCACCACCAGCACCACCAGCACCACCACAGTCACCACCAGCACCACCGTCACAACCGTCACCAGCACCAGCACCACCGTCACCACCAGCACCACCGTCACCATCAGCACCACCGTCACCACCAGCACCACCGTCACAACCAGCACCACCAGCACCACCACCGTCACCACCAGCACCACCGTCACCACCAGCACCAGCACCACCAGCACCAGCACCACCGTCACCACCACCACCGTCACCACCAGCACCAGCACCACCACCGTCACCACCAGCACCACCGTCACCACCAGCACCACCGTCACCAGCACCAGCACCACCGTCACCACCAGCACCACCGTCACCATCAGCACCACCGTCACCACCAGCACCACCGTCACAACCAGCACCACCAGAACCACCACCGTCACCACCAGCACCACCGTCACCACCAGCACCAGCACCACCACCACCAGCACCACCACCGTCACCACCAGCACCACCAGCACCGTCACCACCAGCACCACCGTCACCACCAGCACCAGCACCACCACCGTCACCACCAGCACCACCGTCACCACCAGCACCACCGTCACAACCGTCACCAGCACCAGCACCACCGTCACCACCAGCACCACCGTCACCATCAGCACCACCGTCACCACCAGCACCACCAGCACCACCAGCACCACCACCGTCACCACCAGCACCACCGTCACAACCGTCACCAGCACCAGCACCACCGTCACCACCAGCACCACCGTCACCATCAGCACCACCGTCACCACCAGCACCACCGTCACCACCAGCACCAGCACCGTCACCACCAGCACCAGCACCGTCACCACCACCACCACCGTCACCACCAGCACCGTCACCACCGGCACCACCATCACCAGCACCACCACCGTCACCACCAGCACCACCGTCACTACCAGCACCACCGTCACAACCGTCACCAGCACCAGCACCACCGTCACCACCAGCACCACCGTCACCACCAGCACCACCGTCACCACCAGCACCACCACCGTCACCACCAGCACCACCGTCACCACCAGCACCACCGTCACAACCGTCACCAGCACAAGCACCACCGTCACCACCAGCACCACCGTCACCACCAGCACCACCGTCACCACCAGCACCACCAGCACCACCACCGTCACCACCAGCACCACCGTCACCACCACCACCACCGTCACCACCAGCACCAGCACCACCGTCACCACCAGCACCACCACCGTCACCACCAGCACCAGCACCACCGTCACCACCAGCACCACCGTCACCATCAGCACCACCGTCACCACCAGCACCACCAGCACCACCAGCACCACCACCGTCACCACCAGCACCACCACCGTCACCGCCGTCACCACCAGCACCACCACCGTCACCACCAGCACCGTCACCAGCACCGTCACCACCAGCACCACCGTCACCACCAGCACCAGCACAACCGTCACCACCACCACCGTCACCAGCAGCACCACCACCGTCACCACCAGCACCACCAGCACCAGCACCACCGTCACCACCACCACCGTCACCACCACCACCGTCACCACCAGCACCACCAGCACCACCAGCACCACCATCGTCACCACCAGCACCACCACCGTCACCGCCGTCACCACCAGCACCACCACCGTCACAACCAGCACCACCATCACCACCAGCACCACCGTCACCACCATCACCACCAGCACCACCGTCACAACCGTCACCAGCACCAGCCCCCCCAGCACCGTCACCACCAGAACCAGCACCGTCACCACCAGCACCAGCACCACCGTCACCACCGTCACCACCAGCACCACCGTCACCACCAGCACCACCGTCACCACCAGCACCGTCACCACCAGCACCACCGTCACCACCAGCACCACCGTCACCACCAGCACCAGCACCACCACCGTCACCACCAGCACCACCGTCACCACCAGCACCACCGTCACCACCAGCACCACCGTCACAACCGTCACCAGCACCAGCACCACCGTCACCATCAGCACCACCGTCACCACCAGCACCAGCACCACCGTCACCACCAGCACCACCACCGTCACCACCACCGTCACCACCAGCACCACCGTTACCACCAGCACCAGCACCACCGTCACCACCACCACCGTCACCACCAGCACCACCAGCACCACCACCGTCACCACCAGCACCACCACCGTCACCGCCAGCACCACCACCGTCACCACCAGCACCACCAGCACCACCACCGTCACCACCAGCACCACCACCGTCACCGCCGTCACCACCAGCACCACCACCGTCACCACCAGCACCGTCACCAGCACCGTCACCACCAGCACCACCGTCACCACCAGCACCAGCACAACCGTCACCACCACCACCGTCACCAGCAGCACCACCACCGTCACCACCAGCACCACCAGCACCAGCACCACCGTCACCACCACCACCGTCACCACCACCACCGTCACCACCAGCACCACCAGCACCACCATCGTCACCACCAGCACCACCACCGTCACCGCCGTCACCACCAGCACCACCACCGTCACAACCAGCACCACCATCACCACCAGCACCACCGTCACCACCATCACCACCAGCACCACCGTCACAACCGTCACCAGCACCAGCCCCCCCAGCACCGTCACCACCAGAACCAGCACCGTCACCACCAGCACCAGCACCACCGTCACCACCGTCACCACCAGCACCACCGTCACCACCAGCACCACCGTCACCACCAGCACCGTCACCACCAGCACCACCGTCACCACCAGCACCACCGTCACCACCAGCACCAGCACCACCACCGTCACCACCAGCACCACCGTCACCACCAGCACCACCGTCACCACCAGCACCACCGTCACAACCGTCACCAGCACCAGCACCACCGTCACCATCAGCACCACCGTCACCACCAGCACCAGCACCACCGTCACCACCAGCACCACCACCGTCACCACCACCGTCACCACCAGCACCACCGTTACCACCAGCACCAGCACCACCGTCACCACCACCACCGTCACCACCAGCACCACCAGCACCACCACCGTCACCACCAGCACCACCACCGTCACCGCCAGCACCACCACCGTCACCACCAGCACAACCGTCACCACCACCACCGTCACCACCAGCACCACCACCGTCACCACCAGCACCACCACCGTCACCGCCGTCACCACCAGCACCACCAGCACCACCGTCACCACCAGCACCGTCACCACCAGCACCACCGTCACCACCAGCACCACCGTCACCACCAGCACCACCACCGTCACCACCAGCACCACCGTCACCACCAGCACCACCGTCACAACCGTCACCAGCACCAGCACCACCGTCACCATCAGCACCACCGTCACCACCAGCACCAGCACCACCGTCACCACCGTCACCACCAGCACCACCACCGTCACCACCAGCACCACCACCGTCACAACCAGCACCACCAGCACCAGCACCATCACCACCGTCACCACCAGCACCACCGTCACCACCATCACCACCAGCACCACCGTCACAACCGTCACCAGCACCAGCCCCACCAGCAGCGTCACCACCAGAACCAGGACCGTCACCACCAGCACCAGCACCACCGTCACCACCAGCACCACCGTCACCACCAGCACCACCGTCACCACCAGCACCACCGTCACCACCAGCACCACCGTCACCACCAGCACCACCAGCACCGTCACCACCAGCACCACCGTCACCACCGTCACCACCAGCACCACCGTCACCAGCACCACCACCGTCACCACCAGCACCACCGTCACCACCAGCACCACCGTCACAACCGTCACCAGCACCAGCACCACCGTCACCACCAGCACCACCGTCACCATCAGCACCAACGTCACCACCAGCACCACCGTCACCACCAGCACCACCAGCACCACCACCGTCACCACCAGTACCAGCACCACCGTCACCACCACCACCGTCACCACCAGCACCACCAGCACCACCGTCACCACCAGCACCACCACCGTCACCGCCGTCACCACCAGCACCACCACCGTCACAACCAGCACCACCACCATCACCACCATCACCACCAGCACCACCGTCACAACCGTCACCAGCACCAGCCCCACTAGCACCGTCACCACCAGAACCAGCACCGTCACCACCAGCACCACCACTGTCACCACCAGCACCACCACCGTCACCACCAGCACCACCGTCACCAGCACCACCGTCACCACCAGCACCACCAGCACCACCACCGTCACCACCAGCACCACCGTCACAACCAGCACCACCGTCACAACTGTCACCAGCACCAGCACCACCGTCACCACCAGCACCACCGTCACCATCAGCACCACCGTCACCACCAGCACCACCGTCACCACCAGCCCCACCACCGTCACCACCAGCACCAGCACCACCACCGTCACCACCAGCACCACCGTCACCAAGAGCACCACCGTCACCACCAGCACCAGCACCACCACCGTCACCACCAGCACCAGCACCACCACCGTCACCACCACCACCGTCACCACCAGCACCACCAGCCCCTCCAGCACCCTCACCACCAGCACCACCACCGTCACCACCAGCACCACCAGCCCCACCAGCACCAGCACCACCACCGTCACCACCAGCACCACCGTCACCACCAGCACCAGCACCAGCACCGTCACCACCAGCACCAGCACCGTCACCACCAGCACCAGCACCACCGTCACCACCGTCACCACCAGCACCACCGTCACCACCAGCCCCACCGTCACCACCAGCACCACCACCGTCACCACCAGCACCACTAGCACCGTCACGACCAGCACCAGCACCGTCACCACCAGCACCACCGTCACCACCAGCCCCACCAGCACCACCGTCACCAGCACCACCAGCACCACCGTCACCACCAGCACCACCGTCACCACCGTCACCACCTTAACCACCGTCACCACGAGCACCACCACCGTCACCACCAGCACCACCACCGTCACCGCCGTCACCACCGTCACAACCAGCACCACCAGCACCACCACCATCACCACCGTCACCACCAGCACCACCGTCACCACCATCACCACCAGCACCACCGTCACAACCGTCACCAGCACCAACCCCACCAGCACCATCACCACCAGAACCAGCACCGTCACCACCAGCACCAGCACCACCGTCACCACCAGCACCACCGTCACCACCAGCACCACCGTCACCACCAGCACCACCAGCACCGTCACCACCAGCACCACCGTCACCACCAGCACCACCGTCACCACCAGCACCACCACCGTCACCACCAGCACCACCGTCACCACCAGCACCACCGTCACAACCGTCACCAGCACCAGCACCACCGTCACCACCAGCACCACCGTCACCATCAGCACCACCGTCACCACCAGCACCACCGTCACAACCAGCACCACCAGCACCACCACCGTCACCACCAGCACCACCGTCACCACCAGCACCAGCACCACCAGCACCAGCACCACCGTCACCACCACCACCGTCACCACCAGCACCAGCACCACCACCGTCACCACCAGCACCACCGTCACCACCAGCACCACCGTCACCAGCACCAGCACCACCGTCACCACCAGCACCACCGTCACCATCAGCACCACCGTCACCACCAGCACCACCGTCACAACCAGCACCACCAGGACCACCACCGTCACCACCAGCACCACCGTCACCACCAGCACCAGCACCACCACCACCAGCACCACCACCGTCACTGTCACCACCAGCACCACCAGCACCGTCACCACCAGCACCACCGTCACCACCAGCACCAGCACCACCACCGTCACCACCAGCACCACCGTCACCACCAGCACCACCGTTACCATCAGCACCACCGTCACAACCAGCACCACCGTCACAACCAGCACCAGCACCGTCACCACCAGCACCACCGTCACCACCAGCACCACCGTCACCACCAGCACCAGCACCACCACCGTCACCACCAGCACCACCGTCACCACCAGCACCACCGTCACAACCGTCACCAGCACCAGCACCACCGTCACCACCAGCACCACCGTCACCATCAGCACCACCGTCACCACCAGCACCACCAGCACCACCAGCACCACCAGCACCACCACCGTCACCACCAGCACCACCGTCACAACCGTCACCAGCACCAGCACCACCGTCACCACCAGCACCACCGTCACCATCAGCACCACCGTCACCACCAGCACCACCGTCACCACCAGCACCACCACCGTCACCACCAGCACCACCACCGTCACCACCAGCACCAGCACCGTCACCACCACCACCACCGTCACCACCAGCACCGTCACCACCAGCACCACCATCACCAGCACCACCACCGTCACCACCAGCACCACCGTCACTACCAGCACCACCGTCACAACCGTCACCAGCACCAGCACCACCGTCACCACCAGCACCACCGTCACCACTAGCACCACCACCGTCACCACCAGCACCACCGTAACCACCAGCACCACCGTCACAACCGTCACCAGCACAAGCACCACCGTCACCACCAGCACCACCGTCACCATCAGCACCACCGTCACCACCAGCACCACCGTCACCACCAGCACCACCAGCACCACCACCGTCACCACCAGCACCACCGTCACCACCACCACCACCGTCACCACCAGCACCAGCACCACCGTCACCAGCACCAGCACCACCACCGTCACCACCAGCACCAGCACCACCGTCACCACCAGCACCACCGTCACCATCAGCACCACCGTCACCACCAGCACCACCGTCACCACCAGCACCACCAGCACCACCAGCACCACCACCGTCACCACCAGCACCACTAGCACCGTCACGACCAGCACCAGCACCGTCACCACCAGCACCACCGTCACCACCAGCCCCACCAGCACCACCGTCACCAGCACCACCAGCACCACCGTCACCACCAGCACCACCGTCACCACCGTCACCACCTTCACCACCGTCACCACGAGCACCACCACCGTCACCACCAGCACCACCACCGTCACCGCCGTCACCACCACCGTCACAACCAGCACCACCAGCACCACCACCATCACCACCGTCACCACCAGCACCACCGTCACCACCATCACCACCAGCACCACCGTCACAACCGTCACCAGCACCAGCCCCACCAGCACCATCACCACCAGAACCAGCACCGTCACCACCAGCACCAGCACCACCGTCACCACCGTCACCACCAGCACCACCGTCACCACCAGCACCACCGTCACCACCAGCACCACCAGCACCGTCACCACCAGCACCACCGTCACCACCAGCACCACCGTCACCACCAGCACCACCACCGTCACCACCAGCACCACCGTCACCACCAGCACCACCGTCACAAGCACCAGCACCACCGTCACCACCAGCACCACCGTCACCATCAGCACCACCGTCACCACCAGCACCACCGTCACAACCAGCACCACCACCGTCACCACCAGCACCACCGTCACCACCAGCACCAGCACCACCAGCACCAGCACCACCGTCACCACCACCACCGTCACCACCAGCACCAGCACCACCACCGTCACCACCAGCACCACCGTCACCACCAGCACCACCGTCACCAGCACCAGCACCACCGTCACCACCAGCACCACCGTCACCATCAGCACCACCGTCACCACCAGCACCACCGTCACAACCAGCACCACCAGGACCACCACCGTCACCACCAGCACCACCGTCACCACCAGCACCAGCACTACCACCACCAGCACCATCACCGTCACCACCAGCACCACCAGCACCGTCACCACCAGCACCACCGTCACCACCAGCACCAGCACCACCACCGTCACCACCAGCACCACCGTCACCACCAGCACCACCGTTACCATCAGCACCACCGTCACAACCAGCACCACCGTCACAACCAGCACCAGCACCGTCACCACCAGCACCACCGTCACCACCAGCACCACCGTCACCACCAGCACCAGCACCACCACCGTCACCACCAGCACCACCGTCACCACCAGCACCACCGTCACAACCGTCACCAGCACGAGCACCACCGTCACCACCAGCACCACCGTCACCATCAGCACCACCGTCACCACCAGCACCACCGTCACCACCAGCACCACCGTCACCACCAGCACCACCAGCACCACCACCGTCACCACCAGCAACACCGTCACCACCACCACCACCGTCACCACCAGCACCAGCACCACCGTCACCACCAGCACAACCACCGTCACCACCAGCACCAGCACCACCGTCACCACCAGCACCACCGTCACCATCAGCACCACCGTCACCACCAGCACCACCGTCACCACCAGCACCACCGTCACCACCAGCACCACCAGCACCACCAGCACCACCACCGTCACCACCAGCACCACTAGCACCGTCACGACCAGCACCAGCACCGTCACCACCAGCACCACCGTCACCACCAGCCCCACCAGCACCACCGTCACCAGCACCACCAGCACCACCGTCACCACCAGCACCACCGTCACCACCGTCACCACCTTCACCACCGTCACCACGAGCACCACCACCGTCACCACCAGCACCACCACCGTCACCGCCGTCACCACCAGCACCACCACCGTCACAACCAGCACCACCAGCACCACCACCATCACCACCGTCACCACCAGCACCACCGTCACCACCATCACCACCAGCACCACCGTCATAACCGTCACCAGCACCAGCCCCACCAGCACCATCACCACCAGAACCAGCACCGTCACCACCAGCACCAGCACCACCGTCACCACCGTCACCACCAGCACCACCGTCACCACCAGCACCACCGTCACCACCAGCACCACCAGCACCGTCACCACCAGCACCACCGTCACCACCAGCACCACCGTCACCACCAGCACCACCACCGTCACCACCAGCACCACCGTCACCACCAGCACCAGTGTCACAACCGTCACCAGCACCAGCACCACCGTCACCACCAGCACCACCGTCACCATCAGCACCACCGTCACCACCAGCACCACCGTCACAACCAGCACCACCACCGTCACCACCAGCACCACCGTCACCACCAGCACCAGCACCACCAGCACCAGCACCACCGTCACCACCACCACCGTCACCACCAGCACCAGCGCCACCACCGTCACCACCAGCACCACCGTCACCACCAGCACCACCGTCACCAGCACCAGCACCACCGTCACCACCAGCACCACCGTCACCATCAGCACCACCGTCACCACCAGCACCACCGTCACAACCAGCACCACCAGGACCACCACCGTCACCACCAGCACCACCGTCACCACCAGCACCAGCACCACCAGCACCAGCACCACCACCGTCACCACCAGCACCACCAGCACCGTCACCACCAGCACCACCGTCACCACCAGCACCAGCACCACCACCGTCACCACCAGCACCACCGTCACCACCAGCACCACCGTTACCATCAGCACCACCGTCACAACCAGCACCACCGTCACAACCAGCACCAGCACCGTCACCACCAGCACCACCGTCACCACCAGCACCACCGTCACCACCAGCACCAGCACCACCACCGTCACCACCAGCACCACCGTCACCACCAGCACCACCGTCACAACCGTCACCAGCACGAGCACCACCGTCACCACCAGCACCACCGTCACCATCAGCACCACCGTCACCACCAGCACCACCAGCACCACCAGCACCACCAGCACCACCACCGTCACCACCAGCACCACCGTCACAACCGTCACCAGCACCACCGTCACCACCAGCACCACCGTCACCATCAGTACCACCGTCACCACCAGCACCACCGTCACCACCAGCACCACCACCGTCACCACCAGCACCGTCACCACCACCACCACCGTCACCACCATCACCGTCACCACCAGCACCACCATCACCAGCACCACCACCGTCACCACCAGCACCACCGTCACTACCAGCACCACCGTCACAACCGTCACCAGCACCAGCACCACCGTCACCACCAGCACCACCGTCACCACCAGCACCACCACCGTCACCACCAGCACCACCGTCACAACCGTCACCAGCACAAGCACCACCGTCACCACCAGCACCACCGTCACCATCAGCACCACCGTCACCACCAGCACCACCAGCACCACCAGCACCACCACCGTCACCACCAGCACCACCGTCACCACCACCACCACCGTCACCACCAGCACCAGCACCACCGTCACCACCAGCACCACCACCGTCACCACCAGCACCAGCACCACCGTCACCACCAGCACCACCGTCACCATCAGCACCACCGTCACCACCAGCACCACCGTCACCACCAGCACCACCAGCACCACCAGCACCACCACCGTCACCACCAGCACCACCACCGTCACCGCCGTCACCACCAGCACCACCACCGTCACCACCATCACCACCAGCACCGTCACCAGCACCGTCACCACCAGCACCACCGTCACCACCAGCACCAGCACCACCGTCACCACCACCACCGTCACCAGCAGCACCACCACCGTCACCACCAGCACCACCACCGTCACCACCAGCACCACCAGCACCAGCACCACCGTCACCACCACCACCGTCACCACCACCACCGTCACCACCAGCACCACCAGCACCACCAGCACCACCATCGTCACCACCAGCACCACCACCGTCACCGCCGTCACCACCAGCACCACCACCGTCACAACCAGCACCACCAGCACCACCACCATCACCACCAGCACCACCGTCACCACCATCACCACCGTCACAACCGTCACCAGCACCAGCCCCACCAGCACCGTCACCACCAGAACCAGCACCGTCACCACCAGCACCAGCACCACCGTCACCACCGTCACCACCAGCACCACCGTCACCACCAGCACCACCAGCACCACCGTCACCACCAGCACCGTCACCACCAGCACCACCGTCACCACCAGCACCACCGTCACCACCAGCACCAGCACCACCACCGTCACCACCAGCACCACCGTCACCACCAGCACCACCGTCACAACCGTCACCAGCACCAGCACCACCGTCACCATCAGCACCACCGTCACCACCAGCACCACCGTCACCACCAGCACCAGCACCACCGTCACCACCAGCACCACCACCGTCACCACCACCGTCACCACCAGCACCACCGTTACCACCAGCACCAGCACCACCGTCACCACCACCACCGTCACCACCAGCACCACCAGCACCACCACCGTCACCACCAGCACCACCACCGTCACCGCCAGCACCACCACCGTCACCACCAGCACAACCGTCACCACCACCACTGTCACCACCAGCACCACCACCGTCACCACCAGCACCACCACCGTCACCGCCGTCACCACCAGCACCACCAGCACCACCGTCACCACCAGCACCGTCACCACCAGCACCACCGTCACCACCAGCACCACCGTCACCACCAGCACCACCACCGTCACCACCAGCACCACCGTCACCACCAGCACCACCGTCACAACCGTCACCAGCACCAGCACCACCGTCACCATCAGCACCACCGTCACCACCAGCACCAGCACCACCGTCACCACCGTCACCACCAGCACCACCACCGTCACCACCACCGTCACCACCAGCACCACCGTCACCACCAGCACCAGCACCACCGTCACCACCAGCACCACCAGCACCACCACCGTCACCACCAGCACCACCACCGTCACCACCACCGTCACCACCAGCACCACCGTCACCACCAGCACCAGCACCACCGTCACCACCACCACCGTCACCACCAGCACCACCACCGTCACCACTAGCACCACCACCGTCACCGCCGTCACCACCAGCACCACCACCGTCACCACCAGCACCAGCACCACCGTCACCACCACCACCGTCACCACCAGCACCACCACCGTCACCACCAGCACCACCACCGTCACCACCAGCACCACCACCGTCACAACCAGCACCACCACCATCACCACCGTCACCACCAGCACCACCGTCACCACCATCACCACCAGCACCACCAGCACCACCAGCACCACCGTCACAACCGTCACCAGCACGAGCCCCACCAGCACCACCAGAACCAGCACCGTCACCACCAGGACCAGCACCATCGTCACCACCGTCACCACCAGCACCACCAGCACCACCAGCACCGTCACCACCAGTACCACCGTCACCACCAGCACCAGCACCACCACCGTCACCACCAGCACCACCGTCACAACCGTCACCAGCACCAGCACCACCGTCACCACCAGCACCACCGTCACCATCAGCACCACCGTCACCACCAGCACCACCGTCACCACCAGCACCACCACTGTCACCACCAGCACCACCACCGTCACCACCAGCACCACCGTCACCAGCACCACCGTCACCACCAGCACCACCAGCACCACCACCGTCACCACCAGCACCACCGTCACCACCAGCACCACCGTCACAACCGTCACCAGCACCAGCACCACCGTCACCACCAGCACCACCGTCACCATCAGCACCACCGTCACCACCAGCACCACCGTCACCACCAGCACCACCACCGTCACCACCAGCACCAGCACCGTCACCACCAGCACCACCACCAGCACCACCACCGTCACCACCAGCACCACCAGCACCGTCACCACCAGCACCACCGTCACCACCAGCACCAGCACCACCACCGTCACCACCAGCACCACCGTCACCACCAGCACCACCGTCATAACCGTCACCAGCACCAGCACCACCGTCACCACCAGCACCACCGTCACCACCAGCACCACCACCGTCACCACCAGCACCACCGTCACCACCAGCACCACCGTCACCACCAGCACCACCGTCACCATCAGCACCACCGTCACCACCAGCACCACCGTCACCACCAGCACCACCAGCACCACCACCGTCACCACCAGCACCACCGTCACCACCACCACCACCGTCACCACCACCGTCACCACCAGCACCAGCACCACCGTCACAACCAGCACCACCGTCACCATCAGCACCACCGTCACCACCAGCACCACCGTCACCACCAGCACCACCAGCACCACCACCGTCACCACCAGCACCACCACCGTCACCGCCGTCACCACCAGCACCACCACCGTCACCACCATCACCACCAGCACCGTCACCAGCACCGTCACCAGCACCGTCCCCCCACAGCACCACCGTCACCACCAGCACCAGCACCACCGTCACCACCACCACTGTCACCACCAGCACCACCAGCACCACCGTCACCACCAGCACCACCAGCACCGTCACCACCAGCACCACCGTCACCACCAGCACCACCGTCACCACCAGCACCACCGTCACCACCAGCACCAGCACCACCACCGTCACCACCAGCACCACCGTCACCACCAGCACCACCGTCACCACCAGCACCACCGTCACAACCGTCACCAGCACCAGCACCACCGTCACCACCAGCACCACCGTCACCACGAGCACCACCGTCACCACGAGCACCACCGTCACCACCAGCACCAGCACCACCACCGTCACCACCAGCACCACCGTCACCACCAGCACCACCGTCACCACCAGCACCACCGTCACAACCGTCACCAGCACCAGCACCACCGTCACCACCAGCACCACCGTCACCATCAGCACCACCGTCACCACCAACACCACCGTCACCACCAGCACCACCACCGTCACCACCAGCAATACCAGCAATAGCAAGTATAATCAAACTGGGATTATCCATGACTGGGGATTGTCACTGGATCACTGACCAGTGACAGAACAGCCATACAGCCATCTTGCTCAGAAGAATCTATGCCAGCCCCCCGCAAAGTACATACTTCTTTGTGAACATGCACACAAGCTGCAGACAACTTTCCCACCGTGTCGTCACAAATCAAACTTATAAGGCCACACCAAGTCAATTCTATGTTTCGCGTCGGAAATATTCTGGGAAAGCTACACGGGCGGGCGGAAAACAAAACAAAAACGGAGGAAAAACTAAACTCCATTCTCCGTGTAATGAGCCATTTTGCACACACAGATAGCACTACAACATCTTACATCATTTGAGTGTTCTATTTATTTCCGAGTTTGGGTTGTCTTTTTGCTTTGATTCTTATTTCAGGGTTTCACGCGATTGGCCCAATTGCTGTTGTGAATAAACCCGTTCTCAAAGTACTACAACATGATTGTATTAGTACTAATACTAAACTATCACGTACACTACACTAGTCTACAGTGCACACATACGCTAAGGATAAGTATGTGTGCTTCAATGCCCCAGCCATCAAGACGGCAAAGGTATTGCACCGGGGATCCCAGGTCCAGGTTCAGTTCGTTGCGCAATGCGGGACCATGCCACGTGAAAATGTCATGAAATACCCAAAACGACGACAAGTTGCTGCCACAGCTGGCAGACTGGGCTGGAGCGATGCCGCAACGGATTTCATCGGTGGCTCCTTCTGCACTGTGACGAAAACCGAGTGGAATTCCTCTCCATCACAAACCAGGAAAATCTCGGAGTCCTTGAAACCTAGAATCTCCGCTCCCTTGGTGAGCAGGCTGTCGAGGACGGCTTGGAAAGACATTTTATCGCTCACACTTTCCACGTACCATTCTAGGCATCCCATAGAATACAAAATTATCGAGAAGCTTTAACCCTTTCAGGGTCACAGTGCATTTACTACGTATGGGCACTGAAATTCAGTGCATCAGTACAATTGTGGACATAGCGACAAGCAAATTGTCACAACATTTTTGTTTCTATTAAACACCAACTAGACACGGGGTTCTTAGTACTGCCCTGTGCTGCTGCTGCTGCTAGTCAGTATGATTCCCATCAGAAAGATGTGCTCAGTGCCATCAAGAGTACATGGTACATGAAACCCAGAGTGCGCAGCTCTGAAGAGTTGCTGTCACGGCGAAATCCCGTGATTACATCATTTTAGTGATGCAGTGCGTACAATCAGGATTTTTTAGTTTATTTTTTATTTTTATGAAAGTGCACATGCCTACATAGAATGGAAGAGAACAACAACAACATCAAGAGAACATAGGGGACTGACTACAAAGGGCGTGTAGGTGCTATTGAGCTGTGCCGGTGAGGTGAAGTGCGCTCCCCCGACCAATGGTCTCGGGATCAAGGCGCACATTCAAGCTGGTCTCTTTCTGCACAACTCCAGCTCAGTTGTACGCACTGCGCCACTTCCTGCCTCAGATCTGCACCAAAAATATGATGTAATCCCAGAATTTCGCCGTGACAGACAGCCATGCAGAGAAAATCAGAAGCTGGACACTCTCTGGGTTTCATGTAGAGGAGACGGTTTCAAATAGGAAATAGGTTGCAAACCGGAAAGGGCTCAATATTCACTTTCTCTCTTGGTATTTTGATTAGAAAACATATGTCACAGTGAGACTACGATGTGTTTTACTCAGAGCCAAAATTTCTTGGCTCTGCGATGACCAGAAGCGCCATACCAAGCAGGTGAGTTTTTGACACGTTGCTTCGCACTGCGACTTGAGTTTTACGTCTTTCGAAAAATCAACTTCTTGTCGCAGGTAAACAGCGGCTTGCCTCTCGCCAATAAAGCATCGTATACCAATGAAAACTAATAGAAGCACACGCAAGGCTTATCGTTGCTCTGTACCAGGGTTCGCACCAAGTCATGAAAATATTATTCAAGGGTTTTCAAGGGCCCCAAACCCCATTTTTTCAAGGACATTCAAGGACATTAGTTGGTGGGCTAACCGTTGGTTGGCCACTCTCATGTTGCAAAGTTCAAGGACACCCAAGGTCCGGGAGACAAAAACTTGCTGCTATCGTTGCTGAGTCTGACGGAGACGGCTGGGTGGAAACGAAGAACTGGTTCACGGTAACCACGTTCTGCTCCGCCAGGTCTTTGTGCTTGCCGCCTTTCGCGTGGCTTCGAAGGGCTGACTCGCCCATCGCGGCAATATCGACCACCTTTTTGCACAGAGTGCATTTGGCTTGTCGCTTGTTGCCGGGGACAGACGCCAACCATCTACGAAACTCGGTCTTCTGTAGCCATTGCTCCTGAAAAACACACTTGCCACCTGGCATGATTGCAAAATGCTTCACTACGGCACTACTTACTATTATGACAGGCAAAACCATGCGCCCCACAAAGTCCTCCGAGAATGAAATGATGAAGAAGAAAGTGGCGATGATCGACGGTCAAAGTCCGACTCGACTCCCACTTTTGTAGCGAAAAGTTGGTTTAGTTCGCCGTTGCGACACACGTTCTCTGCACATGTACTAGCTGCTACTCAGTACTACCATTACCAAGAGTGGATCCACTCTTGGTACTACGGACTACGGTACCGGTTACGGGTACCCAGCAGTGCGCGTAGACCGCCTCCATGAACGTGAGTAGATCTACCGCATTCAAACCCAAATTCAAGGAAAAACACACTTTTTTCAAAAATTCAAGCACCCACACGAAAATTCAAGGATATTCAAGCACTTTCAAATCCGGCTTTGACATTCAAGGACTTTCAAGGAATTCAAGGAGTGGTGCGGACCCTGTGTACTGACCGTCGTGGAGCAGTAGCAATTACCTAATTTCAGAACCCAGAGTGAACTTGACGTGCACTCCAAAACCTTCCCGGTTTGGAGCCACCTCTGTGACACCAAAATGTGAGGGCAACTTGGAGGCAACAGGCCAACACAAAGGAGTGGCTCAGTTCGATCGACTCTGACCTCAGAGCAAACTTCAACATGCCAGTTTCCTTCCACAAACATATTTTGAGTGAACAATCCACGCTGATGATCGGTTTGGATCTACACAATTTTGCTGTCAAACCGTTCCTATTTGAAACTGTCTCCTGTACCGTTGGCGAAATTAATCCAGAAACAATTCCTACTATAGCCACTATGTCGCTCCGATCAAGAAGTGTTTCACATTCTACCATCACTCCTATGCCTCAATCACCAGAATGGCTCAGTTCACATTGCAGCAAGTGGTGTGGCTCAATGTCATAAAATATGATGAAATGGTAGCCCGTGCAGCAATGCGACTATTGACTAGCAGCTAAGCCTGGAGGCCTAGCTGCTAGTCAATAGTCTGTTGCCATACTGCCCTCCTTAGTTTGCCATAACCTCTACCCATTGAGATGAGTTTTCACGTACACTACCACTAATAGAGACAGTAGAATATAGATGATATGCTCATGTGTTGTTTTTCATTCTGGGTGTGTATGCTGTTGGTAGCATTGCTATCATCTCTACTATATATCAGCCTCCAGATGATAAGAACAAGGAGACCAGATACACCCCCTTCGCCGCGTGTAGCAGCAGCAGCAGCAGCAGCAGCAGAAGCGGTGGCGGCAGCAGCAGCAACAACAAAATTGATCAACTGCTACACACATGACAATAGTACAACACTGACATTACCTTCTCTAGCCGATCCTCTGCAACATTGGCGCGTTTCCTCTCAGCGGCTGCATTAGACTTTTCTGCATCCAGCTGTTGATCCACTGCCAGTTTCTCTTTGCGAACAATATCTAAATCTTGATGGTGTGATTTGCGTAATGCCTCCAACTTCGCCACCGCACCAGCCCGGTCTTCCTCACAAGCGTCGTACCGTGAACGAAGCAACTCCAACTCGGCCACGAGTCTTGCCTTGTCCTGACGATTGCTATTACTACTAGATTCAACTGTCGATAGTCGGGTTTGCAACTCCATAGCACGATCAGACATGACATGGGCATGCTCAGTGATTTCCACTACTTGAGCTTGCGATTCTGCCAAACGTTCAGACAGGTTGCGCTCCAGCTTCTCCCATGCACTAACCTGTGCACTGTGTGAGCTTTGCAGGTTTTCAATCTGGCGCAGTAGGGGCCGTGTTGCACCAGACACATTGTTAGTCAATTCTTGGCTATGGCCCTCAGCTTCCTGCAGATGACAGCGCAAATTGTTCACCTCTTGCTTGAGATGATCTTCACGCCGTGCAGCCACTTGCTCAGCTGTGCTCATACTTGCTCGCAAATCAGATAGTTGCAAGAGCAGAGATTCTTGTTGTTGCCGAGCCTCCATACGGGTCTTCTCCAATTCTTGTTTGACTTCACGGCGCGCTTCAATTTCAGACTCGAGGGCTGCTTCATTGGCGGCAGACTCGTTGGACGCTTTGTCTTTGCGCAAAGTAGCAATCTCTTTGTATGCGTTGTCCAGTGCAGACTGCAGAGTGCGACTCTTCTCCTCTTCGGAGCCCAGCCCTCGTTTGAGAGCATGCAATTCTTTGCTCTGTTTCTCAGCTACTGTGTTGACTTTGAGCAGTGATTCCTGGTACTTGCGCTCGGTCTCATCTTTCTGCTTTAGCTCAGCTTGCAGCTTTTCAAGTGCTTTCTGAGATTCAGCCGTTTGCCTACGCAGTGTAGTCACTTGCTGGTCCAGCTCCTTCTCCTTTGCACGCAGCTTCTTGATGGTGTTGGAATGCTGCAGCTGTTGCTTTGACAGCTTTTCACCTTCAGCCATAAGACCTTGAATAGAATCATCTTTCTCGAGCAGCATCTTCTCATAATGATTTCGTGAGTCTTGATCACGTTCACTGGTTTGTAGACCATCGTTGCGCAGCTGCTTACATTCCTCGCATTTCAACTGATAGCGGCGCTCTGCTGCTGCAAGTCGGTCAGTGAACTCAGCGCTTACCTCTCCAACATCAGTTGATGCCAAGCGATGTACCTTCTCAGCCTCCTCAAGTTGATTCTGAAGAATGGAATTAGTCTCCTGAAGATCAATATTTTGACGGCTGAGTTGAACCAATTTCGTCTCGCGCACGTCAATGATTTCACGGCATTCAGCTACCTCCTTGCGCAAGCGATGTACATTTTCAGACGCCAACGTCGCCATTGCATTTGGTGACTCACCGGCATTGGCAGTGTTCACCAGCATGTCAGTTGCTGCCTCAGCCGTGTTGCTGGTGTTCGTGCGCTGTGTCCCGGATGCTTGCAAGTCAGACTTTAGTGTAGTACCCTCTTCAGGCACCAATACAGCAGGTACTTGCTGCACGTCTGCATATGTTTCTGTTGATGCGGTTGGGGGCGCTGCTGCTGCTGTCGATATGGTCTCCTCGTGTAGCTGTGCACCATCGTTACTACACGGCACAATAGCTAAATCAGTTTCTCGACTATTTTCACCAGGAGAGGAGGTGATGTTCAAAGCAGGCCACTGGTTCTGTGAAGTAACGGCCGTAGTATCAGCTTGCAGTAATGCATGACAATGACTGGCCAATGCCGATGGTGTCTCATCATCAGCACACACTTTCTGTGAATCATCCGGCATGAGAGTACGTGGCTCTACATTACCAGTTCCACTGTGCAATGACTGACTATCATCACAGTCAGCAAGGTCAGAAGTGGCACATTCCCTACTGCTGCTGCCGCCGCCATTAGATACTAACGCTGGTGTATCAACAATTGATAGCGTGGTGCCGACGCAATCTGCAAGATTATCCACAAACGAGCCACTGGACAATGTATCACTCCGCTGTACAGCAGCAGCAGCAGCAGCAGCAGTGTCCGTTTGGGAGTCGTCAGCTAGATTACTACCAACAAAAGCTGAGCTCATCGGTTTAGACAGTGGTGTGCTGGATTGCAATGGGTTGCAAATATCCACGTCCACTGACATATCAGAGTCCAATCGTTGTGGAGAATCACTGTCAGCAGCCAAAGCAGCAGAGATAGAAGGTGAGACTAGATCAGTGGCTTCAGTTGGCAGTGCTGGCACGGACGTAGCCTTTGCCTTGCCGGCGCGTTTGTCTTTTATTCTTGAAGGTGATCCTGTCGTCTTGCTACTACCGTCACCCAGTACCATCGGCTTGGATTTAGATCTTGTTGACTGACTACGTGTACCAGCTGATGGTGAGATGCTGCTGCTACTACTACTACTGCTGCTGCTACTGGCTGCTGGGACGTGAGAACCCAAAGATGGCGATTCCAGAATACTTTGCTCCTGCTGTCTGCTACATATTGTTAGTTGAGTAGATACAGACGCCGGTGTACATGCCATGGGTTCTGCACTACTAGGACTGCTGCATGACCTGCCAGCAGCAACTACTGAAAAAGTTGCTGTTGTCGCGGTCGCTGAAGTAGATTCATGTGTCCCGTCTGTGAGGTTTGCTCCCTCCATACCAGTATTGGCCACAGGTTCTGTACTAACTGATGTAGCTACATCGGCAGAATCAATGCTATCCGTTTGAGCGGTACTGGACAAACTTGATGTAGCCATGTTTGATGAGGCTGGTGATAAAAGAGAGGATTTTTTGCTTTCTTTGGAGCTGCAGCGTATCGGCCTGCCTCTCTTCTTCAGCACAGCTCTAGCCAGCACTGCCTGGCTTTCGCTCGTATCCGTTGTGTTGGCTTGTGCAAATACAGCTGATGCTGCATTGGCACTATCACTAATATTGTTACTACTAACCGAATTATCACATTTCACGATGGCTGCCGACTCCGCATCAGAATCTGCTGCTGCCGATGGTGATGACGCAGAAAGTACAAGGCGTGATCCTCCCGAACGATCATGTCCAGGCGGCTGCTGATCTTTCACAGCACTTCTACTAGCACCACCACCACGCGATGCCTTGGCACCACTCTGGATTTTTCCAACTGCACCCACAGGTAAGCTACTTGATGAAGAACTAAGAATTTTCGTCTCATCAGCGCCACTAGTTTTCAAATCCCAGGAATCCCAGAACGATCCACTGGATGTGCTGGCACTGCTGGATGCGCCGACATCGGCTGCTTCAGTGTTAGTACTTTTAGCTGGCTGTCTCGCTGCCTGAGGAGATGAGAAAGAGCTACCTCCTCGAGTTGGGTCCTGGCTGTCATCAATGTCCAGAACTTTATCTATTTGTTTCGTAGCATTGGAAAGTGCACTACGAGCAAGTGAACCCAGAGCACTGCTGTCGAATCCCCAACCCGACATGATCAGTCATGTCCTACGCCACTCACAGCACACTGATCGGACAAATGTAGCTCCAATGGCAGACCAGACGAGCTAGATTACCTCTCGACGATCTCAAAAGCCATTGTTTTTTTTGTCTTGATGAAGCATTCTCCTGCACTGCATGTAGTTCTTGATTTGAAAAGACAGGCAGCTCAGTCTAGCTAGCTAGCTAGACATGCGGCGCGGCGGCGCTTCGCGATGCGTCATGCATGAGGTAATCACACGGAAAGTCGGGCCGCGCCGCCGCCGCGGCCGCGCGCGGCTAGACCCACGGCCACCGCTAGCGCTGACAGCTGCTGAGGGGCCCCGGCCATGCATGATCATGATGATCCACCGGACCACCGCTGCATGCACCACGGCACGGGGTCGACGGTCGGGGGGGTACCCCGGGTACCGGGTACGGCCACATCACGTGATAATGCAATGCACTACATCAAGAGTACATAGTCATAAACCTGTACTCTTGCTTATGTACTTGTACGACTGTACGTTGTAGGCTGTAGCAGCTGCCAGGCCAGGCTGCGCTGCAGATCTGCAGAGTGCAGTGCAGGGATTTGAAAAAGTGATATCTTTGCAAATTTGACTCCTGGGACATTTTCCACTCTCTCGGAACTCGCAGACGATTGCTCCATCTAGTCTTCAGATCACTATGTGTATCCTTCATTAGTTCAGCTGCCCCAATCTCCCATTTATCGGAAGTTGATTTCTTCTGACATTGCGGAATGACAAGGTAAATCCAAACTGTGCTACAATTTTAATCGACTTGGGGGTTCATAAAAAATGTGATTTACGGGTGGGTCATAAGGCCGCTTGTCACAGCAAACCAATGGTCTTATCATACTCCCGTATTACGTACTAGGTGGTAGGCGAAAGTTCTTGCTGAAATTCACTGATGTTGTACGTTGGTCATACTCGTGGAAATTACTTTTAGTCAGAAAAATTGCACTAATATTGCAGTTGAGCAGGGTGAACGAAACGTGATTTGTGGATGAGAAAGTCGGTATACACATGTCGATTCAGGTCGTCTTATTGATTACTAATAATAAGGCCACAAAATAGCAATGAATAAAACTAATTGTGCACTCATAACCATTGTATAAAACAATAATAATTATTATACCGTATTATCTCTAATATAAGCACAGTCTCCAATAATAGCATGTCTCCAATAATAGAACACCTTGGGGCGGCATTCAAAAAATAAAGTGCTCAGTCTCCATTATAAGCACACTGTGTAAATTCATTATCTGTATCGGCGAAAAAAACCCTGAAATGTGTGTGTCTGACATGAATTTTTTTGGCATGGCAACATGCCTCTGAAATGAGGTTGAAATAATAATGGAACAGTCTCCAATAAAGGAACGTCTCCATTAATAGCACGGGGCGGAGGTACATTGAAAAATAAAGGACCGTGCTTATGCAGTAGACTCGTACGCCCAAGAACGAGGCGCCCAAGAACGCCCCAGCCTGGATTTAAGAACGAACTCCAAGATTTAACTACAATGCAATCTTCTGAAAAGGAGAGAGAGAGAAAGAGACGTGATATTTGAGCGCCGGTTTGTTTTGCAAGCGGATTGCACCTTCATGATCTGTCCGAGTACATGAAAAACAAGTCCGCAACCACAAACCTTGTCGGGTCCTCGCGAAAACATCACCCAGTGCAACGCTACATACTACACGTGCATGTAAAGTGTACAACCGGTACATGTAGCGCAAAGTGCATTGTACATGAGCGTCATGTTGGACGCGTAAGAACGTAGCCTGGGGCGCTGAAAAATAAGATTTTTGCTAGGCTGGCCCTCTGAAACCGCGTTCTTGGGCGTACGAGTCTACTGTGTTCGAGATAATACGGTAAAATGAACGTGGCAGCTGTGTGTGCATGTACCGCTACCATTTTCACATTCAATGCATAAACTCACACTGCTGGTGTAATTGACGCTATGTGTAACCGCGAGCTGCTATTGTTTGATTGTTATTCTAGCTATATAACTGGTTGTTTTAGTGATTCTTACCATGTCACCGTGTTCCACTGATGATTGTCCCGAGAAAACATTCTGGATTTTTTTCATTTTATAATAATACGTAAAAAATCAGAGCTGCTGGGTTTCACTCTACGTGATTTATCCACGACTGCTAAACATGCGTTGTTGCTTTGGAGACGCGTTGGCTGCATGCGCCCACCGCATGCACCATGAACCGAAACCGCGTTTTCCATCTTATTTTGCACGTGGTGTACGGTGTGTGTACCTTGTGTTTCGCACGGCTTGAACGTTGCCATGGACAAATGCAGAAAATGCGAACAAATATTTCAAAAAGTCCTACGGATGACCCAACGTAGGAAAGAGCTTTCCTACGGAAATCCGTAGAGAGATTTACGTATGAAAGCTGCCCTCGCTCCCCGGCGCGTACAACATACGGATTTTCATACGTAATTACGTAGAGCGAAACCTCCCTAATACTGTATTTTCCCCATTAAATGTACACGTCTCCAATACTAGTGCGTCTCCAATTGTAGTACAGCCATGTTGAGTGTGGATCAGAAATATAAAAGGACACGTCTCTAATAATAATACAAGCCGGAATGATGTGATTTCAGGGGGTGTCGGAGGTTGGGCGGTTGAGCGGTTCAATAGCCAATTGTGTCATCTTTCCAAGGCTCCTTTCGACTCGAAGTTTCGAGTCTCTCTCCCCTCTCCCGAGGAGACCCACGTGACCAGTTTTGGCAGTGAGAAAGTACAAGAAGTATAACTGTGTGCGTGTGTGTATATGTGTGTGTGTGTGTGTGTGTGTGTGTGTGTGTGTGTGTCCCTGTGCCCTGCTGCAGAGCGCATTGTCTCGGCTGCGGTCGCTGCTGCAAGTCATCCCGTGGTTTCGACCTGCATAGCTGTGCTAATTTCCTGTCCAGGAAGTAGAACGGCGTTTCTGGATCCAATGCTGAACTCAGTGCTGTCGACCCCTGCACAGGGGACACGTGACCATTTGATGGCAGTGTTACCAAGGACCAAGGTGTGTGTGTGTGTGTGTGTGTGTGTGTGTGTGTGTGTGTGTGGTCGGCTCCACAATCCAGTGTGTCGTTACTATATAGCTATCATGGCTGAGGTTGTTGGTACGTCTGTTGGCCCTGGGTTCCCAGTACCCAGTTGCCGAGGCTGGTTGGTAAAATAACTCCAATTTCACTTCAAGGTGCCAGTGCATCTAGTGTCTGCTTTTATCAAAGCAGCGTGCTGTCTATACTGGTTACCCCAGCAAGTGTAGGGTGTGCATAGGTAACTGTCTTGGCCGTCCTATTCCGATGTACTCCGTGTGGTGTAGACCAGGTGTGCATTGGGGGGGGGGGGGGGGGGGGTCGATTCACATGGCTTCGCCAGTTGTGTGGATTAGACAGTTATCTGGCGCTTGTCTTGATCTGTTTCAATCAGAATCTGATCCGCTATCGTTGCTATAAAGAGAAAATCTGTGAGTGCACATCCAGTGCATTTGCAGATTTGCGTGCTTCTCTTGCGACTGGCGTATACATGGTACATGGTGTGTGTGTGTGTGTGTGTGTGTGTGTGTGTGTATGTGTGTGTGTGTGTGTGTGTGTGTGTGTGTGTGTGTGTGTGTGTGTGTGTGTGTGTGTGTGTGTGTGTGTGTGCATGCGTGTATGCGTGTGTGTGTATATAAAGCCACTTCATAGCTGTGTGGTGTAGACCAGGCTGAATAGTAGCGGTCAGTTCTTCAGCCTTGCTAGCTGTTGAATGGTGTAATCCCAGCACAAGTTGCTATGGCTTCTGCCGTATCATCGCGTCCGGCGATGGGCATAGAAAAAAAGGTGTACAGAAGGATTGACGGCAACACTCTTTCTTCTGTGCCTTTTCCTCACCTACTTACTGAGGCGTGGTGAGCCCATGGCTTAAGTCGGATCATTTCCAAGTCCACGCAGAGTTTGGGGATTTCAGGGGTGTCGACCATTGGGTGGTTCAATAGCCAATTGATCATCTTTCCAAGATTACTTTTGAATCTCTCTCCCCTCTCCTGGGGAGACCCACATGTCCATTGTTGGCAGTGAGCAAGTACAGGTGTGTATGTGTGCGTGTGTGTGTGTGTGCGTGCGTGCGTGTGTGCGCGTACATGTATGTGTGTGTGTGTGTGTGCACCCGTGTGTGTTTGTGTGTGAGTGCGCGCGTGTGTGTGTGCATTCATGTGTGTGTGTGTGTGTGTGTGTGTCCCATATGGTGCAGTGGCAGGGCGTGAAATAACGGTCGGACATCGAACAATTTCCGACCGTTTACGGTCAGTTTCCGGATGTTTTGTGCACATCCGGACAAAGTGTCCGCGCACTTTTTTGCAAAGTGCAAAAAGAAAAGGCACGTCCATCCTTTGTCTCGTAGTCATTAGTGATGTCGTCTGGCAAGAGAAAGCCAAGCACCGCTGATGCGGGTGCTCCTCTTGGAAAGAAGCCCAGAGGAGTCAAGACGACCACTTGTGACGAGTGGATCGCCGAGTATGATAGGGAGCTTTCGACTTCTGTTTGGCTGAGCTATGAGCGCAGTCCCTGAGATCGTAGCGTTGTCGAAAATTTGAAGTGTAAGATGTGTTCCCGTTTTGTTGATAAAATTCGCAGCAGCAAGAATTTTTCTGACTCCTTCGTCGTTGGCTCAAAGAAACTGAACACGTCAGCCTTCAAAGATCATGCTGCTTCTGAAATGCATTGCCGTGAGGTGGCATTGTTTGGCAAGGAGCAGTCAAGCGGAAACCCAATAGAGTATGCGCCAATCGCTCGAGCCTTGTGCAAACTTGACGACGCAGCAGCAGAAAATTTGCATGTCCGGACATGTCCGGCCATTTTTGCAACTGGCAGGACATTGTGTCAGAGCACATTTTAATCCTTAGCGCATGCCCTGCAGTGGTATGTGCAGCGATTTCCAATCGATAGGTTGCGGGTTCGATTCCCGACGATTATGGTCACACCCGTCTTTCTTCTCTTTCTCAGACTCTTCCTGACTTTTCTTTCATTCTCCTGGGTGGTTACCAACAGGCAGTGCATGCCGGAGTATGCATACCTACCTGCCAAGTATCCACGATTCCAGATTTTTTCAGGATTATCCCGCAATTTTGGATGAACTCCCGCGATCCCGAAATTCCTGTCGATTATCCCGAAATTCACTGTACAAGAAACAAGCTTGATATTGTACTTGGAGCACTTCGAATGACTTGTCACAGGCCAGTAGTTGTCCTTATTGATTCCGGACCGCCATAGCCTGCATGCAGTACCAGTGGTCCGCAATGGATCTACTAGTGCTCCTTCCTTGAGCAGTCTCTGAAAAACCTCCGTTTTTGAGCTTGAACATATGTAAGTGTGATCCGATGATCACCATCGATCATCTATTATAGAAATGTTGGTGCCATCAAAAGTTGAAAAAGGATATTTTTGGTAAAAAAAATTGACATATCCCGAGAAACCAAGGCAAATCCCGGGATTTTGCCATGGCGATCCAGAAAAAGCATTTTGCCATGGCGATCCAGAAAAAGCAGAAAAATCAGTACTCTCAGTACTTGGTAGGTATGAGTATGGGGTGTGATGTGTGTGCGGGAAAGAAGAAAAAGAAAAAGAAATGAAAAGACCAAAAATAGGGATTCACTGGCCACAAAAAGTCATTTCAAATAGCTGTATGGTGTAGACCGGGCTGAATAGTGACGGTCAATTCTTCAGCCTTGCAAGCTGTTGAATGATGCAATCGCAGCACAAGTTGCTATGGCTTCTGCCGTAGCATTGCTATCATCGCCTCCGGCGATGGGCGTCAAAAGGAAAGGTCAAAGGTGTGTGTTTGTGTGTGTGTGTGTGTGTGTTGATTGAAGCTTATATCAGATCCACACTGATTTAGCCACCCACACTAGTAGCAAGTACAAGTATTACCTTCACTGGGGGCAGGGGTAACTGCAGTTGGATCCCTGGACGGATACCCTGATGCCGTCAATCCTTTTTCTGCACCTTGTCCTCACCCACTTACTGAGGTGTGATGAGCCCATAAGTGGGATCATTTTCAAGTCCACCCAGAGTTTTGGGGATTTCAGGGGGTGTCGGCCGTTGAGCGGTTCAATAGCCAATTGAGTCATCTTTCCAAGATTCATTTTGAGTCTCTCTCCCCCGGGGAGACCCACATGACCAGTTTTGGCAGTGAGCAACAAGTACAAGTGTATGTGTGTGTGTGTGTGTGTGTGTGTGTGTGTGTGTGTGTGTGTGTGTGTGTGTGTGTGTGTGTGTGTGTGTGTGTGCGTGAGTGCATGTATGTGCATGTACATGTGTGTGTGCACGCGCGTGTGTGAGGAAACCGACAGGCTAGCGCCCATTAAATAGCTTTTAATTGTATTGTGGTTTGGACTGGTTTCATTTGTCCGTGTTCTTCCTTGTACTCAACACAGCAGCAGTTTGCACCCTTCCTTGTACTCAACACAGCAGCGGTTTGCACCCTTCCTGACCGAGGCCATCGTGAACATCTGGAGCTCCTGTCGCGAGCACGCCGAGTCTGACATGATGGTCTGGAATGATGTTCTGTGTTGTAAAAGTGGTGACCATGGTGACACAATGGATTAACTCTCACACCAACCAGGTTAGTGGTACATTGTTGGTGTGATGTTTCATGTTGGGAAATTATTACGCTAACCAAGCGGATGAGTTCCAGGTTTTTATATTAGTCTTTACACAGCCTTGGATTGTGGAAACATTTGATGTTCAGCTCACATGCACTAATTGTTACTTTTATTGCACAGCACAAGTCATTCCACCCAAGCTACGACCTCGCTGCAGCCGTCACATGCAAGATGTGTTGCTAGATTGTCGTTTGAAGTTCATGCATAATTTATGCAAGTGTCCCCACTCCCAAGCACTGACAGCTGTGTGCCCAAGCTCTTCATGATGGTGGTGGGGGGGGGGGGGGGGGATTGACTTTGATCCGGATAGATGACGTTTGGCTAATAATAATTTTTAAAAGAGATCGGAGGCGGATAATACTTTAAAAAACGAAGGTAAGTTTTGGGTCGCAAGAATCCACGCAAACACACATCCAGTCACAATAAGGCACTTGTCCAAAAAAAGTATCCGAACGTTTTCAGTCCCTTCTCATCAAGGATTTTACAGGGAATGGCTCAAGTTGGAAAGACTAAAACTTATATACTGTAAAGCCATATAATATAACGAAGTGATAACTCTAACGAGTTAACGAGGAGAAATCTGTCGTTAAAATAGAAATCGTTATATGGAAACCGATACATATACTGTCCCATTGAGCATTGAGAATGAGTGAGAATCGTTACCTTTGGTACAAGTAAACTAGTCAATTTTGGGAAATCGTTATATATGCGCCTCGTTAGAATAATGGCTTTTACAGTAGCGTAAAGATAATAGACACCCTTAGCAAAAAACGTTATGGTGTAACGGTATTATCGTAAGGGGGAAAATACCGTGATTTGGGTTCGACCTTTAGCAAGATGCACGCTATTTTTAGTACGCTGTTGCCACGAGAGTAGCTTTGATTTCGCGCGGTACAACCATTTTTGTCACCATATACGCGATACAAGGTGAAATGCGTACGGACTATGCAATATTTGGCCAAAACACGTACCGTTGGTCACAACGATAAATCAGCCCCCATAACGTTTATACGCTGCAGCTTCAAGGTACAAGTACCGTAAAAAATAGCGTTACCGTTGTTTGCTAAGGGTGTCTAATGAGATAACAACACTCGTGACAAGGTGGAAAAAATGTCAAGTTCAGAACGACACAAAACTCGAAGGAAAATTATAATAGTGACAACAGCATGGTGGTAGGGTCCAGAAACTGACCGTGGTTGGTCCCTGGGGGAGGGAGAAAGACCCAAGTGCCATCAGTATGTGTGGCACGTGTTGTGAGCTGCCTTTGGAGTGAAAAACTTGTCAGCGCCTTCTAGGTTCAGCCTGGTCCCATAGCTCAGTGGTTAGAGCATTGCTTATGAAAAGCAAGGTCCCGGGTTCGAGTCCTGGTGGGTCTCGCGATTTTTTCTCCTTTCAGGCAGTTCACTTCCCCAACTGATCCTTTGAATTTGAAGTTCTCCCAATTCTTTCAAAATTTATTCACTTTCTTTCACTTCTGGTAGGGTCCAGAAACTGACCGTGGTTGGTCCCCTGGGGGAGGGAGAAAGACCCAAGTGCCATCAGTATGTGTGGCACCAAGAGTACATAAACCAGAGTGTGCAACTGTGCATATCAGATCTGAAACAGCGCAGTTCGTGCACTACGTCACCCTGGTGAGGTCAGCCAAGCCACGACTTCCGTACAGCTCAAATTTTCGTGTTTCACAGACCGGAAATCAACCAAGTTTACATGATTTTAGTGGTCTTGTTTTAGGATTTCGGTGTTTTGTGTGACTGCGTATGCTGCGTACATCCGCTGACAAGTAAATTCACCAGGCTATCCGTTTCAAAAAACCGAAATCAGGACAAACTCAGTGACCTGCACCACCGTGACTGGTTACACAACCTTTCACCGTACCTGTGGCTTACCATGCCGTCAGAAATGACGTACTGCACGAATTACGCTCCCACAGGAACCATCCCAAGTTGCACACTCTGGTTTATGTACTCTTGGTGGCACGTGTTGTGAGCTGCCTTTGGAGTGAAAAATTTGTCAGCGCCTTCTAGGTTCAGCCTGGTCCCATAGCTCAGTGGTTAGAGCATTGCTCATGACAAGCAAGGTCCCTGGTTCGAGTCCTGGTGGGTCTGGCGATTTATTCTCTTTTCAGGCAGTTCACTTCCCCAACTGATCCTTTGAATTTGAAGTTCTCCCAATCCTTCCAAAATAATAAAAATAATAATTAATAAGGCCATTTTCGTAATAAGTATTCGCATGCAACGACGCAAATCCACATAATTCAGTAGACACTTCCTTTCTATCAAACGTTTTCTTTCCCTTCTCTTCAGGATACAGGGAATGTTGTAAATTTGAAAAACACATAACTATATAGAGAATGAAAGAAAGAAAAAAGTCAACACTTCAACATAGGTGTTAAAATGATTAAGGTGTTAAAAACTCAAAAACAAACAGCTGCAAGTTGTAGACAAACACGTTGAACACATCAGAAAACACTTGTCACACTTTCACGAGGTGTGACACCAAACAACTGCAACGATAACACATTCTCCTTCTGTACACATAGTTCTGGATCTAGTTTACGAATATACAGAGCTTCTAACACAGCAAGATGTAACTTAGACCTTCCACGAGTCAAAATCGAAAAGATATCATCACTATACAACTTACAACAACTAGCACTGCCCGACAAATGACGCTTGATGGACGATGTCCGATCACTTAGCTCTGTCACCTTCGACGCCTGCCGTTGTTCTCTTCCGTTAGGCTTGTTTGGTTGGTTGCTCCGGTCCTCCGTTTTTTCGAGCCTGTTGCTTCTTTTGGTGATCGGTGTGTCTGGCGATTTTGTCCATCTACCATCGATCGCACCAAAATGACAACCTGCTCCGGAGAAGTGAAGGACTCAACTGACGAACGGGCATGCGCAGAGTGATCAGATTCAGCGGGCAATACACTGAAAGTTATTGCGGGCAATGCACGAAAATTCCTGCCCGCTGAGCAAGAGCGCTCATTGGCTGCAGTACAGGCAACCCTCACGTGACATGCAATAAGGATTTTACCCCGCCGTGCTGCGACCCACATCTAGTTGGGAACTCGTGGCCTGGCACGAGGGAAGCATGGATGCAGTGAATGGGATTTCGGTCTTTGACCACTTTGGTTGTGGGTCTGATCTACTCACCTCCCACCGCTTTAGGAGCTGCATCTGCGCCTTGATCTTTGAGGGTGGTGGTGTCCCAGCGGATGCGGAAAATTCAGTCTCCAGCCGAGTCTCACGCGAACCGCGAATCTTTCTTTCTTTCATACAGCTCTAGCATAAGGTAAGCTTTCCAACGGCCAAAGAGAGTTGGAAAGCTTGTGTCTTTGTGGGTAACTTGAACATTCGGGCTCATGGGATTTCCGCGCAACTTTTTGCTTCAGCAAAAATGTTGTGCTTGACCGCATTCCTGTCACTTCGCAGTGGCTTTTCGTTGGTGCAGTTTGTATCCCACCATCCCATCCCTGACTTCTGGGTGTGTGTGTTTATCGATGTATCTTATTGGCTTTCTTATTGGTCATGTGGCTGTGGCAGTTACGACTGCTTTTTCTTTTTTAGATAAAAAACGTAGAGGTGGTGTGTGCGTCCTGGGCCCTTGTATGGTTACATACAGCTTCAGATTGTATGGCTAGTGACAAGGGAGTTGAGTCTGCATGGGAAGAATACAGTGATTGAACTGAAGCTGGATGATGATGTGTGGTGAGTGTGTGGGGGTTTCGAGATGCCATTCTGGGGGCAGGGATGTCGGTCCTTTAGCTTAGACGGGTGTTGTTACATTCATTGTAACATTTTGTCGTTTTCTGTGTGTTTTGCTGTCCGGCTAGCAGCAGTATCTTGTGCTTATTTTTTCTTGTCTGTATGCACACAATTGTTCAAGGAAAAAATTGGGAAGAAGATATAAGAAAGGTTTGCTCCCCACACCGGAGCTCGCGCTATTCCGCCGACTTTACTTGACACTTGACTGACTCACGACTGCCATCCAGAGCACACGAGAAGTCCATCGAACCTTCAACTCGGCAAACCTGCAAGAAAGCACCACTCCCTGCTCAATACACAGTGTTTCGGGGAATTCACCCCTCATCAGTTGAGCTTGAGTAGGCTGAGGAAGATTGTGCCTGAAGAGCACCACTTATATAGTGCTCTCCAGGCACAAACATCACCAGGGATACAAACTTACAGAGACGCTCCGCTTCCAGCGCGACAAGATATAATATCAATAAATAAAGCCATTGCCGAGCCACCGTGCTCACAGCAGAGACTTTTGTGTGTGTTATTGTTGCGAAAGTGGAGCACAAAGACTGTCTGAACCTAAACTGTTGTCTGCCTTGTCCCGTATCCGTATGTTTGACAATGTAGATGACCTAGTGGACTTGATCATGTTGGCGCAGCAGTCTAGCGTGTCACAGGCAAGCACCAGCATTCTCTGCTCCGCTACTGCAAGTGTTGAAATGCATGACCTCTTTGAAACAAGCACAACACATCGATTTTGGTAGGTAGACCCATTTGTTTTCATATGTGCGTGCATGTGTGTGTGTGTGTGTGTGTGTGTGTGTGTGTGTGTGTGTGTGTGTGTGTGTGTGTGTGTGTGTGTGTGTGTGTGTGTGTGTGCGAAGTGTGTGTCCCATATGGTGCAGTGGTATGTGCAGCGATTTCCAATCGATAGATTGCGGGTTCGATTCCCGACGATTATGGTCACACACGTCTTTCTTCTCTTTCTCAGACTCTTCCTGACTTTTCTTTCATTCTCCTGGGTGGTTACCAACAGCCAGTGCATGCCGGAGTATGTGGTGTGATGTGTGTGCGGGAAAAAAATGAAAAGACCAAAAATAGGGATTCACTGGCCAGAAAATGTCACTCCAAATAGCTGTATGGTGTAGACCAGGCTGAATAGTGACGGTCAATTCTTCAGCCTTGCAAGCTGTTGAATGGTGAAATCCCAGCACAAGTTGCTATGGCTTCTGCCGTAGCATTGCTATCATCGCCTCCGGCGATGGGCGTCAAAGGTCAAGGTGTGTGCATGCGCGTGTGTGTGTGTGTGTGTGTGTGTGTGTGTGCATGTGTGTGCTTGCGTGTGTCCTTGTGTGTGTCCTTGTGTTTGTGTGTGTGTGGGGGGGGGGTGGGGTGGGGGGGGGGGGCGTGTGTGTGTGTATGTGTGTGTGTATGTGTGTGTATGTGTGCGTGTGTGTATGTGTGTGTGTGTGCGCGTGCGTGCGTGTGTGTGTCTGAGTACATGTACACAGGTACAAATTTCAGAGCTGCCAACCAACTGGGTCTGTTTTGCGTACGGCAACTTCTGATTTTCTGTATTTTGCAGTGTTTTTTTTTGCGTACTGCCAATGCACTGGCGTGTGCATTGTTTGTATTGTTTGTATTGTTTGTATTGTGCTTTTTGACGCTCACATGCTTGTCGGTGGCTGGCTTTGCTAGTGCTAAACATGTGGGACTTGTACAACAACATTATTTTTGTGCTACATGTAGTCGAAGCACGGCATGTACTCGCTTTGGCACGGGGATATTCATCGCTCAGCTTTTCGCTTGCCATACCTCTACATTAGGGGTGAAACAATTATACCGAGTACTCGAGTACTCGCTCGGTTTTTTCAAAAATAATCGTACTCGGAATAAATCAGAGTACTCGTTCATACATGGTACATGCATTTACTACAGAAATCTGCAGTTTCAGGGCAGCAGTCGGCAGATCGTGATGTGGAGACTGTGTGGTGAACATTTGTTCACGAGTAGAGAGAGCCCAAGTGACCCACCAACCAATATACCCGAGAAAATGACTGCTACTCGGCTCAATCCGGGTTGTATAATGTTATTTTAAAGCCCTTGGTGTGCAATTTTTAGGAGATGGAAAATACTCGAATATTCGATCGGAGAAAATCAGAGTACTCGAACTCGGGATCTCAGTGCCAACTTTCACCCCTACTCTACATACAGTTGATGGATCCTCTTCAATTTTCCGTATCATTTTGCTCAGTTCCGTTGCGCAGACGAAGGAGTGATTATCCATACAAATGCGGAAAGATACGTAAGGTGGGCAGCACTAGAATCTGTCTGTGTGCTTGCGTTAACTCTCATGCTCTCCTTTTCTCCCGTGTGCTCTCTCGTTGCCTGTCTGGCACTCGTCACAGTCTGTTCTAGTCACACCATTGTCTTTTTTCTTCACGTCATGTTTTCTCCACAGGTTGCTGATATGATCATCTCCTGCTGCTGCTCATCTCTCCTTCAAGGGCTGTCAACACTGATATGATCATCTCCTGCTGCTCATCTCTCCTTCAAGGGCTGTCAACACTGGTATGATCATCTCCTGCTGCTCATCTCTCCTTCAAGGGCTGTCAACACTGATATGATCATCTCCTGCTGCTCATCTCTCCTTCAAGGGCTGTCAACACTGGTATGATCATCTCCTGCTGTTGCTCATCTCTCCTTCAAGGGCTGTCAACACTGATATGATCATCTCCTGCTGCTCATCTCTCCTTCAAGGGCTGTCAACACTGGTATGATCATCTCCTGCTGCTCATCTCTCCTTCAAGGGCTGTCAACACTGGTATGATCATCTCCTGCTGCTCATCTCTCCTTCAAGGGCTGTCAACACTGATAGCACTGCCACCACTGCTACCCCGCTCGCCCCTACTTCTGTACTAGCAGTAGCAGCGCTAGTCATTAAGACTTCATCACCATGATCTAATCTGCACCAGCAGCCTCCTCTTGATAGCTTACTCAACAACATGCTGCACCAGCAGCCTCCTCTTGATAGCTTACTCAACAACATGCTGCTCACATCCGGCGGTGACGAGCAGTTTATTATTATTTATTAATATTATTATTTGTGTCTGGACTGGACCAGGTCGCCGCATTCTGGCTGTAGCGAATTGGTGGATTGGCTGTGAATGTCTGCCCAGTTCCTTGACAGCACTGGTCTGGCCACCGTTGTTCCGGCTATGTCTGCATTTCTGAAGACGGTGAATGCTCTGGCCTGCTCTGATCTCTTTTTGGATGGTCTTGGCTAGTCTTGGCTGGTCTTGGCTGGTCTTGGCTGATCTTGGCTGTTTTCAAAACTATTATTATTGCTATTGCATGTGATCAACCTATTTCTTGATTCAATGGGCACTTGTTTCTAGCATGTCTTGACTTCAAGTTACCGTATTTTTCCGGTTGTAAGTCGACCTTTTACGACTAAAAATAGAAGGAGAAAGGGTGGGGGTCGACTTACAACCGGGATTCGACTTATAACCGGGAACTATCAGAATCTTACAAAAAATGACTTGCCCTGCATGCATGAGTGCACCATGTGTACACATGTTTGCCAGTTTATTGGCCTTTTTCAAGGATTGGGACGTTATACCCTCCAATAAGGAATGTTTACATGATTTGTTGAGGTGTTAATGCATGTTAGTAGCAGGGAGTGGTTGGTAGTGCTTCGTTGGGTGAAAACTTTAAAACGCAGAAATGAGACCTCCGGATACGGGGGTCGACCTATAACCGGGGTCGACTTACAACCGGTAAAATACGGTATCCAGTCGGATAGCATTGTGCTACTAGTCTATCTTTACCATTGTTTGAAGTTGCAGGCACATACTAGTAGCCATTGAGGTTGGGGATGCTTGTCAGCTTCTTTCAGATATCGGCCGTGTCTGATAATACATGTGCACAATAATACCCTTGACTGGCCTGCGTTGATTTCGATGTTATCGCCCCTTGAATGGACTAACGTTATGCTTTCATTTCGATGTTATGTTCCTTTGCTTCCATGGTATGTTTGCATGTGTGTTTGCATGTGTGTTTGTGTGTGTGTGTGTGTGTGTGTGTGTGTGTGTGTGTGTGTGTGTGTGTGTGTGTGTGTGTGTGTGTGTGTGTGTGTGTGAATGTGCCAACGCCAGTTTTCGCCATCCGGTTTCAAGCGGCACAAATGCAGCCGTGGCAGTCGCCCTACTTGTAAACAGAGGGAAACCTTCGAATATGAGTGCCGGCTCTGCAAAAAACGTTTTCGGCTTCAACGAGATCTCAACCGGCATGTGGCTCGTCAGCATTGACTCTCTTACCCTGACTCTGGCTCCCTGTCACAAGGGAGTGACGTGGCCCTATGGGGCAGGCATGCTATAGTAGTAGTAGTAGTAGTAGTAGTAGTAGTGTGTGTGTGTGTGTGTGTGTGTGTGTGTGTGTGTGTGTGTGTGTGTGTGTGTGTGTGTGTGTGTGTGTGTGTGTGTGTGTGTGTGTGTGTGTAAAATAGGGATTCACTGGCCAGAAGAAAAGCCACTTCAATCAGCTGTGTGGTGGATACCAAGCTAGAAAATAGTGGCGGTCAATTCATCAGCCTTGCAAGCTGTTGAATGGTGTAATCCCAGCACAAGTTGCTATGTCTAACATAGCTGTTCGCTATCATCGCTTCTGTGATGGGCATGTCTGAGGTGTGTGTGTGTGTGTGTGTGTGTGTGCGTGCGTGCGTGCGTGCGTGTGTGTGGCGGGGGATAATTAAAAAGGCAGGGAAGGGCTTGGGCTGTTTCTTTAGTTTCCTTGACAACGAGAACGCCTTGATAAATCTTCAGAGCTGGGTAAGTGTTTGGACTCCATGGCTGAGACTGCTATTGGCTCACTTGTACAAGAATGGTACTGGCTTATGTTGCCTCTTGCACTTGCACGTCTCCACATATGCTACCACTTTGATAGATTTTTGTAATTGTTTGCGTGGGTCATGGGTCTGGTGAAATAAGTACTTCAAGTATGGGTATGTGCATGGTTTTATCGCTGCTTGTTTTTACGTACATGGGCAAAATGATGTAAGGTTGTGTGTGTGTGTGTGTGTGTGTGTGTGTGTGTGTGTGTGTGTGTGTGCACACGCGTGTGTGTGTGTGTGTGTGTGTGTGTGTGTGATTTATATGCTATGCATTCCTGTATCTTGCCTATAGGTTTGACTCTATCAAAGTGCTTGCGTGTGTTTCAACACCTGCTGGACACTTGGTGGACAAGAAACACTTAGCAACACCTGGTGGACAAGAAACACTTAGAAGAGAAAGAGGTGCGAGTAATTGTTATTGTATTGCAGCATTCACTCAGGATACTGCTTGGTCTATGCCCAAAGTTTGGCTTGGTTGCTGGTTGGAATGCGCATCCAGGAATAAGGATATAAGGATATAAGGATATAAGGATGTAAGGATATAAGGATATAAGGATATAAGGATGTGCTAGAGCTGTTCGCCAGTTACATGTTAGTTGTAGAACGAGTCAGTACCGTCAGTCAGTACCGTCAGTACCGTCAGTACTGTCAGTACTGTCAGTCAGTACCGTCAGTCAGTACCGTCAGTACCGTCAGTCAGTGTCGTGCAATGTTATCGCATGAGCTGATTTTTTTAGTAACTGGTGGTGTTAGTGGACATTATGGCGTAACTTGTAGTTCCGTGGTCTTTTTTATTTCTATAAATTAATTATAACGAAGTGCTAATTCTAACGAGTTAACAAGGAGAAATCTGTTGTTAAAATAGAAATTGTTATACAGAAATCGATACAATACTGTTGCTATTGAGAGTTGAGAATGAGTGAGAATCGTTACCTTTGGTACACATAAACCAGTCAATTTTAGGAAATCGTTATATGCGCCCCGTTAGAATAATGGCTTTTACAGTATGTCATTCGGTCATTTTTCTAAAGTATTTCCTTTTTTGCTGCTGGTGTGCTCACCCGCGCATGTGTGTGCTCACCCGCGCATGTGTGTGCGCACACATGTGTGTGCGTGTGTGTGTGTGTGTGTGTGTGTGTGTGTGTGTGTGTGTGTGTGTGTGTGCGTGTGTGTGTGTGTGTGTGTTGTATTTGAAGTATACATACCTGTTAACCATGGACTACTTCTGGCTAGATTAACTCTTGTGTAATCATGGTGCTAGTGAAGCTTGTATCAGATCCACTCTGATTTAGCCACCCACACTAGTAGCACGTATTACCTTCACTGGGGGCAGGGGTAACTGCAGTTGGATCCCGGGACGGATACCCTGATGCCGTCAATCCTTTTTCTGCACCTTGTCCTCGCCCACTTAGGCTGTGTTTACATGAGGCGTTTCAACCCGGGTTGAGTTCGACCCGGGTCAGATTTCAATCCGCCATGTGCACAAAATGAATGGCGCGTTTTCATGACGCATTGCGCTTGACCCGGGTTGAAATTTCGCCCCGGGTTGATTTCAACCCTCCCCCTCCCCTCCCCCTCCCCCCAAGGGGAGGGTTGAAATCAACCCGGGTCAAGAAAATCGTACAAACGTACTTCTGTGCGTATCTCGCGCCAGGTTTGAACAGCACTGCACATGCAAATTTTGCGCGAACGGATTCACGTGACCATACAGGACTCTGAAAGTGGAATTTTGGCGGCATATCAGTATTTGGCCCGGGTCAACTGTCTTCATGTAAACGCTCACCTATTTTGTCTATCGTACAGACTTTCAACCCGGGCTGAACTCGACCCGGGTTGAAATTTCTCATGTAAACACAGCCTTACTGAGGTGTGGTGAGCCCATAAGTGGGATCATTTTCAAGTCCACCCAAAGTGTTGGGGATTTCAGGGGGTGTCGGCCGTTGGGTGGTTCAGTAGCCAATTGAGTCATCTTTCCAAGATTCCTTTTGAGTCTCCCCCCCCCCCCTCTCCCGGGGAGACCCACGTGACCAGTTTTGGCAGTGAGCAAGTACAAGTGTGTGTGCGTGTGTGTGTGTGTGTGACAAGTTCCAATTGCAATGTCAGAATTGCCAGAGACGTCTCAAAAGGTGAAACGACTTATCCCGTCACCAACGCTCATGTCTCCTCTCGTCTCCGTCTCGCTCAACGAGAAACACGTGACCTACATGGCAGTGTATACCAGGACCAGGTGTGTGTGTGTGTGCGTGTGTGTGTGTGTGTGTGTGTGTGTGTGTGTGTGTGTGTGTGTGCCTTTTTCTGCACGTTGTCCTCACCCACTTATTGAGGTGTGGTGAGCCCTTAAGTGGGATCATCCAATTGAGTCATCTTTCCAAGATTCCTTTTGAGCCTCTCTCCCCTCTCCCGGGGAGACCCACGTGACCAGTTTTGGCAAGAAGCAACAAGTACTAGTACAGTCTGTATCGGCTATAGAGTGACCGGATATAAGAATATATCGGCTACAGTGATATTGGTACGAAATATCAAAAGCAAAACGTATTTTGGCCAGTACAAATATCACTATAACCAATATTATCGGATGTAATGATGGCAACAAAGAATCAAAACATGCATAACATGCAACACACTATATTATTATCAGCTGTAGTGATAACTAATTACTTTATCAAATTCAAAGGTCCTATTTTGTTTAACTTTCTTCATGTTGCTTATTTTTATAGTGATACACGTACATGTACATGTACATAACAGAATTTTTTTATGGAAATGCGGACACTGTCAACTATGCAGCATGCTCATTTGTCAAAACGCCATGCTGGAAGTATTTCCTTGCCTTTCATGTGTCGATCGAAAAAATAAAGAAAAATCGATGGTATCGCATATAGTGATGCATCGGTTATAGTGATAAATCACGGAAATCAAAAGGGTACGCTATAGCCGATACAGACTGTACAAGTGTGTGTGTGTGCATGCCTCATCCCATATGGTGCAGTGGTATGTGCAGCGATTTCCAATCAAGAGGTTGCGGGTTCGATTCCCGACGATTATGGTCACACACGTCTTTCTTCTCTTTCTCGGACTCCTCCGGACTTTTCTTTCATTCTCCTGGGTGGCTACCAACAGCCAGTGCATGCCGAAGTATGTGGTGTGGTGTGTGTGCGGGATAAAAATTAAAAAAGGCCAAAACGTAGGGGTTCACTGGCCATAAAAAGCCACTTCATAGCCGTGTGGTGTAGACCAGGCTGAATAGTGGCGGTCAATTCTTCAGCCTTGCAAGCTGTTGAATGTTGCAATCCAAGCGCAAGTTGCTATGTCTTCTGCAGTAGCATCGCTATCATTGCCTCCGGCGATGGGCTTCACAGTCAAATGGTGTGTGCGTGTGTGTGTGCGTGTATCGTTGGTTCCGGAGCCACAGTGGCTTGGCTGTGCACCGTTGCTATGCTTCTAGCTCCTGCCCAGCACCGATTGCGTCAGCTGCTGCTGCTGCCACCGTTGATACTGCCGCTCAAAGTTGCTGCAGTGCTTACTGCAGCATCTGCAATCGTTGTTTCCGCTCAGCCCAGGGACGCAGCCAACGTCGCTGTTCAAGGCACTGCCACCGTCCAACGGCTAGAGAACGGGACAAGTTCCAGCATATTTGTATCTGCTCTCGCCGGTTCCGACTAGTCTCGCATCTGGAGCGCCATCAGGTGACGTGCTCCTTCTCTCTCTCTCTGCTGCCCCTCCGCGGCCCACGTGACCCTAGTGGTAGTGGCTCTACAGGGCAGGTGGATGTGTGTGTGTGTGTGCATGCGTATGTATTTGTGTGCATTATTTCACATCATTCACTGTATTTGATGGTGTCATACTTTCAGATTGGTGTCATGGCCATGATTCCGTCAAAGGAGGCTCGGGAGCTCATGTATCGCATGCCCAGGGCTCACTTTGTTCCTCTGCGGGCAAGTTGAGCGTCTCAGCTTCCTTGGACCAAGACCATTCGACTCAGCACCCGGAAGACTACAACTGGTGACAAATTGATCTTAAGGTATACTTGCCCTTTAAATGACATTTCTATTCAGCTGGTACTGTTGATTGTGATTTTATAATTATTGTCCCTCTCGCCGCCTGTTTGGAATGCACTTTATTCCCTCAAAATCCCTGAAATTCCCTCGAGCGTTGAATTTAATGAGAAGTGTCCCTGGAGCATTTTACTAGCATCCAATTCTATCCCTTGATACCCTCCAGAGTATACATTTGGAGAAACTTGGTTTGTGAGATGAAGGCTTCGTCTGGACGTAACTTCGCATGCTCCGGACTCTTGAGTACTTCTTCCCTCACGGTTTACGTTAAAAATTAATTGTGAAGACTTGTTTAGAAGATCTTTTCCAAGCACTGCACCGTTGCCTGGCTCGCTTGTACCAGGCAAGAGTGCAGTGCTTGTGTTCTGTGTGCTCCCTTGTACCAGGCAAGAGTGCAGTGCTTGTGTGCTGTGTGCTCATTTGTGCCAGGCAAGTGTGTCATGTGCTGCTGTGTGACGTGTGCAGAATTGACAAATATAGCCCAGAATTCTGAGCACATTTTGTTTTGTGCTATTTCTTTCCATTGAGTTGTTTAAAAAAAGAGGTTGGTGCGACTTCGGCGATAACTGGGGAATTGTGTGTTGCTCCCTACATGGGAGCTCGCGCTTTTCCTGCCGACTTGAATTCTCACTTGACTGACTCACGACTGGCATCCAGAGCACAAGAGAATCCCATCGAACCGTCCACTCGACAAACCTGCAAGAAAGCACCACTCCCTGCTCAATACACAGTGTTTCGGGGAATTCACCCCTCATCAGTTGAGCTTGAGTAGGCTGAGGAAGATTATGCCTGAAGAGCACCACTTATAATATAGTGTTCTCCAAGCAAAAACATCACCAGGGATACAAACTTACAGGGACGCTCCGTTTCCAGCGTGACAACACCTCATGAACTCCAGATAGCAGCGTGAGTCAGTGTCGCTGAGTTGTTTTAGAGGATATTCTGGTGTGTCTGTGTGTGTGTGTTTGTATTGTTGTAGGAGGTACACCGTACACCGGACCATGCTATCCAGGACATTCTTTTCTCTGATAATAAAGAGCATTTGAGACAGCCATGCTTGCAGTTTGCCATCAAGGTATGTACTCAAAAGCGCTGCATTAACACACACATATATGTATGTGTGTGTGTGTGTGTGTGTTTGTGTGTGTGTGTGTGTGTGTGTGTGTGTGTGCAAGTTAGCTTGGTTGGTGGATGCACACATGTCTGATAACGGTTTGGGTCCGTTGCCATCAGGCCCATCGGATTGAAGGCATATTGTTATACCTGTCATCTTTGTTGGCTTCAGGGTCTATTCCGACTACCGTATTTTCCAGAGTATAATCCCCATTCCCATTTCTTGCAACCAAATACAGACATCTACCCTATTTACCACCGGTAATTTGATCATCGGAGTATAAGCTGCAACCCCCTTTTTGGGGGGTGAATTGTGAATGTTCAAAGTGCGGCTTATACTCCGGAGAATATGGGACAGGTAGACTCCCTCTTATTCGTATACGGTATAGTTCCAACATTCCGTGTAATTCGAACTTTTTCGTCGTACCGATCTTCTGCAAGTCGCTTCAAGTCAAATTCGAATGAGTTATTCAAAGTATGGAAAGTGGGCCGGCTGGATAATTTGAACTCAGTCCTCGTACAGAACTGAGCTGTTTACTATTGACTACATTGGCTATGTCCTTCCAACGCTTATTTCAAAGTGAGATTGAGTTGCTATACTTGTAATTCAAAGTTGCTGCCGCTGTCGCCACCAGCACAGCCGCTGCTGCTACTGCTGTTGTCGCCACCAGCACAGCCGCTGCTGCTACTGCTGCTGTCACCACCAGCGCAGCTGCTGCTACTGCTGCTGTCGCCACCAGCACAGCCGCTGCTGCTACTGCTGCTACTGCCATATTCTTTAATGTTTGGTCGCGAGGCACACATGCCTCTTGATATTTTGTGTCCTCCGCCTGCCGACTCACTTCCGGAAACGCACGAATCATTTGCAAGAGAGCATGTTTCGAAGCTGCGCTTTTCCTACGATTTGGTTCGACAGCATCTCGATTCTAGTCAACGTTGCTCTAAGGCCCGTCACGATAGAAAAGTCTCGTGCAGGTCCGTTGAATGTTGGTGAACATGTTTGGCTACATCGACATCCGCTGCCCCAAGTGTCGCCTAAATTCTTTAAGTATTGGTCGGGACCATGGGAAATTGTACGGACGCCGACTGACGTAACGTATGCGATCGGACCTCGCTTTGAAAGTCTTGTCCGCCATTAACCGTGCACAGTCCATCGAAATTGCCTTTGGAAATGTTTGATCCAAGTGGGACGTGCAACGCGCACACCACTTGCTGCGCCTACACGCCCACCGCTTGCTGCGCCTACACACACATACAATACTCGGTCTCGCGCTTTAGTTTAAGTTCATGCTCTTCGAACATACGTGTCCTTCATTGGCCGTGTTTTTTTGTTTTTTTCTCTTTCTCTGTCGGTGTTCCCGTGTCTTGGTTTTCGTGTGTGTGCTCTGCGTGCTTTGTTTGTTCTCGTCCTGGGTGTTGTGTTTCATTCCTCATCCACCTAGCAAACATGTCTCTCTCTCTCTCTCTCTCTCTCTCTCTCTAGACGAGCACATGGCCGCTGCCCTGCTGATTCCGCTACCGCCCTGCTCGCCGCCCTCGTCGCCTCCTCCTCTGCCCCAATCACCGCCACCCCATCCAAACTGTGCGATGTTAGAGCCGTGGGATGTTTCCCCATGGGGTCGCCGCCACAATTTGCCGACTGGGTGCGACAAGCGCCATCGCCGCCGTCGCCTCGGACGTCGGTGCTTCCGCCAGCACCACCGGCGCCCGGAATCATCAGGCCCTCGCGCCTGGATGCCGCGCGTCGACAACTCGACTTGGCACCACGCCCTCCCTCGACGGAGGAACTGGTCCCGGCAATCCGCCAACGCCTCACCATCCGAACGTATCAACCACCGCGACGACACAATACATGCAACCTCCGACAACTACGACCACGCCCGCAACCACGAGTCCACGACCATGACCACGACCGATACGCCCTACTCGACACCGCAACATATCTCTGGAAGGATGGCAAAGGGGGATTGCGCAACATATCTCAAGCACACTAGCACTAGCAGGACAATATCCAAATCCATGTATCTCCATGACCGCTTTGTGTCCTCTGTTCATTTGAACTATTCACACTGACTTACTGCAGGAGAACCATGATACCCGCGCATCATGTTATAATGATCTGCAAACCAAGATCAATCCAGTACACATTGTGTCTACTCCCCCTCCCATCTACAAAAGCTGCAGTTCATATCAGCTGGCATCTTTAAAATTGTCATTTCGCATTTTTCTCTCCATTATCACCTGCTGCAACTATGCCTGACCACTCTGCTTTCCTGCCATGGATAGGTATAAACGATTGCCAGTGGATTGAGCTTTGGTGGCAACGTTTCCCTGGTCCAGGGCCTGTGGGTGACAGATAGAACCAAGTTACGCCGGACCACTCTTCCACAGATCTCACACAGAGCGGTGATGAGTAAGAGCTCTCGGCGGTGTTGCACTGTATGAAGACGACGTGCTGATTTTGAACTTTAAAATCATTATAGGGGCGGCAAATATCATAACACGGATTATGTGGACGAGGTATCGGTGAGATACATGGAGAGGTGAAAGTAGTTGAGAAGGTTTGCACTTGAATTTCGAGTGATTCCCACACTTGGTTGAGGTTTAGTGGCAGTGTTTCTCTACATGAGAACGGAAGAGTGACGATGCTGAGGCGAAGAAAAAAAACGATATCCCACCACAAAACACACGCCACCACACAGAAAAACCTGCATAAGTAATGCGATCGTGTTGGAGTGAAGTGAGCTGAGCTCTAATTTGTCATTCTGTTGTTTTTGCTTTGACAGGCTTGCTACCATTTGCTCGTCAAAAATTACAAATGAAGTTGGTTGCTCCAACGAGTTCGTAAAAATTACTAAGTCCGAGAATTTGCCAACTCCCTATGGTGTAAATACGGAAAAGACGCAAGAAATTGCCTCCGAGTGTCAGTGGTGGCAATTGGTGCGGGCAAAGGCTAGAAGGAAAAATTAGACAACCCTTGCTATACTTTAGCACTGGTAAGTCCAGTCCGAGAAGTACCAAAATGCGCACGGCGATTTTCGAAGGGTCGATAGATGATGGGGTGTGCGAGTGCAGTGCTACCTATGAGAGGGTGGGTGTTCGAGTTGATGGTCAGGGCCTGGGTGACTTCGACCAGTGTACAAGTAGGTCCGAAGGTTTGCACACGAATTTCGTGTGCTCTCCTGCATGGCTGAGTTTTTGATGATGATTTTGTAGTGATGAAATCTGATTCGACAGATTCAATGCCTTGGCGGCTGAATGGCTCGAGAAGGTCGTTACTGTCGAGGTGACGTAGGATGTGCAAAGGCGATTACCGTGTGTGAGGGCGAAACAGTGTCAATTGTCTGCCGAAATCTCTGATCACAGCACAGGGGAACATCCTGGCCAAAGACTGCCATTGTGTGTCACTAAAGGGAGCTGGACATGAGAGCCGGACCTCGACCACGGTACAAGTAGGTCCGAAGGTTTGCACACGAATTTCGTGTGCTCTCCTGAATGGCTGAGTGTTTGGTGATGATTTTCTAGTGATGAAATCTGATTCGACAGACTCAATGCGTTGGCGGGTGAAAGGCTCGAGAAGGTCGTTACCGTCGAGGTGACGTAGGGTGTGCAAAGGCGATTCCCGTGCGTGAGGGAGAAAAAGTGTGGATTGTCTGCCGACATTTCTGATCACGGCAAAAGGGGAGAGTAGTGGCCACGGAATACGATCGAGTCTCACTGAAGTGAGCGGGAGGCGTGAGATCTTGGCAACAATCAGGATTACGCGGACGAGGAGGCTGAGCAGTGAGGATATGAATAGCACTCACAAGGTTTGCATGTGCATTGAGTGTGCTCTCCAGAGGGTTTGATGTTCGTGGCTGTTTTCACTCTCAACGAACATGCGTCGAGTTGTGCATGGAGATAGCGGCTGAATAGCTCGTACGGGTCAATGTGCTGACGGCTCGTAAGGTTCGATGTGATGATGTGAAGGCAGCGTCGGAAAAGGTTAGTTCCTGACCTGTGTGAGATGGAAAGCGTGTCGATTGTGGGGCGAAGAATCTGAGTTCGGAAAAGCAATCGCACAGACAGTGCGAGTGAGTCGACTCGAGGGCAAGTGACTTGAGGGCTATTCGTGTTTGTGGCAACACGGAACACGCGGGCGAGACATGGTGGGGATAAAGAGAGTAGGGAAACGTCATTCAGAAAGTTTGCACATTAATTTCGAGTAACTCCCACGTTTGATTGAGATTTTGAGTGGCAGTGTTTCTCTGCATGGGAACGGAAGAGTGAGGATGCTGAGGCGAAATAACGATATCCCTTCGGGGTACGAGTGCACGGAAAGAAATTCTGGTTGGCGTGAGACTCAGCTAGAGACCGAGCTTTCCACACTTGTAGGAACGCCACCACAGCACACGCCACGCCACGCCGTCAAAAATATCTAAGTCCGAGAATTTGCTAACTCCCTATGGTGTAAATACGGAAAAGACGCAAGAAATTGCCTCCGAGTGTCAGTGGCGGCAATTGGTGCGGGCAAAGGCTAGAAGGAAAAATTAGACAACCCTTGCTATACTTTAGCACTGGTAAGTCCAGTCCGAGAAGTACCAAAATGCGCACGGCGATTTTCGAAGGGTCGATAGATGATGGGGTGTGCGAGTGCAGCGCTACCTATGAGAGGGTGGGTGTTCGAGTTGATGGTCAGGGCCTGGGTGACTTCGACCAGTGTACAAGTAGGTCCGAAGGCTTGCACACGAATTTCGTGTGCTCTCCTGCATGGCTGAGTTTTTGATGATGATTTTGTAGTGATGAAATCTGATTCGACAGATTCAATGCCTTGGCGGCTGAATGGCTCGAGAAGGTCGTTACCGTCGAGGTGACGTAGGGTGTGCAAAGGCGATTCCCATGTGTGAGGGGAAAAAAGTGTCAATTGTCCGCCGAAATTTCTGATCACGGCACAGGGGAAAGTCGTGGCCGCGGATTACGATCTGGTCTCGAAGTGAAGTGAAGTGAGCGGGAGGCGTGAGATCTCGGCAATGCCTAGGATTACGTGGACGAGGCTGAGCAGTGAGGATATGAATAGCACTCACAAGGTTTGCGTGTGAATCGAGTGTGCTCTCCAGGGGGTTTGATGTTGGAGGCTGTTTTCACTCTCGACGAACATGGGTGGAGTGGTGCAGGGAGTTAGCGGCTGATTTGCCCGTAAGGGGTTAGTGTGCTGACGGCTCGTAAGGTTCGATGTGATGACGTGAAAGTAGTGTCTGAAAAGTTTAGTTCCTGGGCTGCATGTGTGAGATGGAAAGCGTGTCGATTGTCGGGCGAAAAATCTGAGCAGGACAGGCGGAAAAGCACAGACAGTGCGAAAGAGTCGACTCGAGGGCAAGTGACTTGAAGGCTATTCGTGTTTGTCACAACCCGGAACACGCGGGCGAGGCATGATGGGGATAAAGAGAGTAGTGAAACGTCATTCAGAAAGTTTGCACATGAATTTCGAGTAACTCCCACGTTTGTTTGAGTGGCAGTGTTTCTCTGCATGAGAACGGAAGAGTGAGGATGCTGAGGCGAAATAACGATATCCCTTCGGGGTACGAGTGCAGGGAAACAATTTCAGGTTGGCGTGAGACTCGGCTAGAGATGGAGCTTTCCACACCCGTAGGAACGCCACCACACCACACGGAAAAGCCTTGCGCAATTAGTGCGATCGTGTCGGAGTGAAGTAGTGAGCTGAGCGCTACTTGGTCATTCTGTTGGTTTTGCTTTGACAGGCTTGCTACCATTAAATTTTCGATTCTTTCAATTGTTTGAACATGTACGCGGTATGCGTGATATGAATAGTGGAAGGTGAGAGTATTTTTGAACTAGAAGGTTTGCACATGAATTTCGTGTGACTCACGCGGTGGATTGACTTTGTTTGGTGGTTATGTTTCGCTGTCGCGGTGTGGACGGAACATTGTCGATACTCTGACGAATTGTTCAACCCTGCCACACGGAAAGAGCCAAGTGCATAGAGTGCGATTGTGTCGGGGTGAATGATTGTGTTGACGGCTGTTGGGGATTATCTGATGGCTTTGGGTAGACAGTTGGTGAGAACAGCATTAGCCGTGGGTGCGCTAGTCCGTATTCGCCACACTACACGCGAAGCGTTGACGAGTTTGATGAAGTGACAACACTGTGTAATTTGACGGAGGTTTGTGGGGGTTGTTGAACGCGCACTGAGCAACACGAGTGGCGTGCTGAAAGACGCTCAGTTGTCTTGCTTCGAACATCTTCCCAAATCTAAACTTACACAAACCTCAATTCGTGTGTTCCTTGGTGTATCGAGGCATTCGCGATCGAATTTCTCATGAGCAACAATGTCATCATACATACTCATGGGCGCAATCGCCGAAGGGCGAGTTTTTCGACAAATTCCTGGATCTCCTTCAAGACCAACAACCAACCAAAACGCGTCTTTTCGCTCCTACAATTTGTGTAGTCTCGCACCTTCACACTACATGCTGCAACAACACGTACTTTATAATGTTAGTGAAAAGTAGTGGTGCATGTTGGAACGTTTACCACCGGTGCACCGTATCATGGGCAACTAACGATAGTAACGTGTTGTTACTTCCAAGTCATGCAGATCTGCATGCAACCGCCAGTATTCCCATATCGGTGGTGGTGTAACGACTTTTACGTTACGGCCGTTATTACTAATCTATCTTCATTCAGGCTAGAACAGTCGGTGGCAAAAAATTGACCCATGAAATCATTTGAACGATTTCCTTAGGCATTCTTTATAATTTTTTTGTTAGGATTTTTATTCACTGTGTGCATCTACTCAATCTCCGTTCAACCATGATTCAGTGCTCACATTCTAATCTCTCCTTCTTCGAGTGTTTGCAATGTCTCACAATGTTAGGGTACCGGGTAGTACTGGCGTGGTGATGCCGCCACTGAATTTCGTGACCGTGCGCTACGTTTTGGAAACTGAGGCTTTGTGACGAGCGAACAGCTTTTCGCTTACTAGTTCAAGCGACCGCTAACAGCTGTGAACACTAATCTTGTCAGGAGCACGGCACATTTTCCGGATAATAGTATCAGCGTTGTTATGGCCATGGCCTAACTCTCTTCACCTAGACTAGAGCTGTGGAATTCTACTCCCTCCACAGTCCCCCACACGACGTCTAATGGCTAGTTTTGAATGTAGCTTTGGGTGGACATGCGAGTCCCTGTAACAGCAAGAGAAGTTGCTATAAACTTCACGGAACGTCTACAAGAAGTTGAACATTGTCATGGGTCCATGGACCAGAGCTGAACTCTGCTTGGTTACAACTGCCTCATAGCCAGCAATTTTGGAACAACAATTTCAGCCAATGGCTGCACACAGTGACAATTGGATGTAGTTCTTGTTTCTGCATGGAG